CCATCACAGCCCCCGCCGGCCTGCTCATCGCCAGCCGCCCCTGCTGCCGACCACCAAGCCAGACGACGAGACCACCGGGCTGGCCAAGACAAGGAAGGACAACAGAGGGCAAGGGCAAGTGATAAGTGATGCAGTGGCGGGCTAGAGTGCAGTGGTCTGCCTCCTCTTCCAATCCCAAGCTCTCGTCTCCATCGACGTCCATCTCAATCCAATCCGTCCGCCGCCCTCCCCCTGCTCGCCAAGTACCCGCCGCGCCTATCGCCCACACCCCACACACACCCATCAGCCGTATCATACTCACCTTCATCAATGCTCAAGCCCAATCGCCATATCGACCACCCCTCCGCCCGCCATGCCTCCCACGTCACGACCCCCCCTCATCCCCCCTACCATACTCATTACCACCCGTCACCACCAACCACCACCCCCACCCCCTACCCCACTACCATCACTATCATCCTAGCCACAACCACCACCACCGTGCCATGGCCATCCCCCCCACCATCCCATCGCGCACTCGGCTTCCTCTTCCTCCTCCTCCTCCTCGTCTTCCCGCTCTACGTCATCTCCATCCTTATCCCCGTTCCCGACACCCACACTCCTCAACCATCACATACCTTTCTGCCTATTCACCAACCAACAGCAATCTCAAGCCATCCAGCCTCGACACAGCCCCCTCAGCTGCCCCTGCCTCGCCGACCACCAGCCGCCAGCCGTCGCCCGCTCGCCCGATCAGCCCACCTTCATCACCATCTAGCTCCCTCCCACCACTAGCTACGCAACCCACGACTACACCCAAGGTCGTCACTCACCCCACACTATCACCAGTCCAATATTGCTGTAATCGACACCCATCTTCCTCGGCTCATTTCCGCGTCGGCTTGTTTTGCCTAGGTGGTTGAGCACGCCCTCGACCGCCCGACCCCGCAAATGCCCCCCACCACACTCATTGCAAGATATGGCCAATCTGATTTCACTACTACTCTACTACACGCCCACACTACCCCCTTGCACAGTCTCCAATTCACAGCTGCTGTATTCCGGAATCCGAGTTCTGCCGGCTCGGCCCCAAGTTGTTGGCCCTATGTCCCTTCGATGCTGCTCACCCCCTGCCGCGGGCCCATCTCCGACCCCCACTCCCCACCATCCCCACCCACAACCACCACACCCACACCACACCTACCCACCATCCAGACAACCTCATCCATCCAACGTCCGCCCGTGTATCTACATCAGCCGACACCATCCCGTCAACAGCATCGCTGCTGACCGCCGGCTGCTCGCTGCCGCCCGCCGCCCGCCGCCGACCGACCACCGCCGGCACCACCGAGAGCAAGCTAGCCATCGACAGGGCATTGGAGACGATGCATATAGATAGCCACATCAATGGCAATGACTACTAGTCTGCCCTCCAACCCAATCCTCCCCTCCATCCTCCGGCCTTGCCCGTCACAGTCCCCGCCGTCCTGCTCATCGCCAGCCGCTGCTGCCGCCGATCACCGAGCCAGACGACGAGGCCCATGGACTGGCCAGGACGAGGAACAACAAGCGAGGGCAATGACAAGCGATAGGCAATGCAGTGGTGGGCTAGAGTGCAGTGGTCTGCCTCCTCCTCCAATCCCAAGCCATTGTCTCCATCGACGTCCATCAATCAAATCCCGTCGGCCCTCCTCGCCCATGCCGCCCAAGCCCCACCCTCATCAACCACACCCCTCACACAGCCACCAGCCGCATCATACACAGCCACATCCATCCTCAAGCCCAATGCCCATACCCATCATCCCTTCGCCCGTTCCGCCACCCACGTCACGACCCCCCTCATCCCCCCCTACCATACTCATTACGCCCCATCACCACCAACCACCACCCTCACCCCCTACTCCACCGCCATCACTAACATCCCAGCCACAACTCCCACCCCATGCTATGGCCATGCCCACCACCATCCCATCGCGCACCCCGCTTCCTCTTCCTCCTCCTCCTCCTCCTCTCCGAGCTCCAGCTCACCCCCATCCCCATGCCCGTCCCCGACACCCACACCCCCAATCATCACTTGCGATACTGCCCATTCTCCATCCAACAGCATTCTCATGCCATCCAGCTCCGACCCGCCCCTCAGCTGCTCCGCCTCGCCGACCACCAGCCGCCAGCCGCCGCCCTCGCCCGATCAGCCCACCTTCATCACCACCTAGCTACTTCCCATTACCAGCTACGCTACACGCGACCACACCCACGGTCGTCACGCACCCACACTATCACCAGTATCAATATCGCTGTCATCGATACCCATCGACCTCGGCTCACTTGCGCGTCGACTTGCTTGCCCTGGGTGGTTGAGCACGCCCTCGACCGCCCGACCCCGCACACGCCCCCCCACCAGCCTCATTGCAAGATATGGCCAATCTGATTTCACTACTGCCCTACTACATGCCCACACTACCTCCATGCACAGTGTCCAAGCCACAGCTGTAGTATTCCAGAATCCGAGCTCTGCCACCTGACGCCCAAGCTGTTGGCCCGGTGTCCCTTCGATGCTGCTGACCCCTCCTCCCTGGGCCCATCTCCGACCCCTATTCCCCACCATCCCCACCCACAACCACCACACCCACACCACACATGTTCACTACCCTTGCAATTATAGCCACCCACTTCACCTCGATACTGACATCAGCCGACACCATCCTGTCATCAGCATCGCTGCCGGCCGCCTGCTGCTCACCACCGATCGCCGCCCGAGTTAACCCGTCCACCGCCGGCACAACCCCGATCAGGCTAGGCAGAGCACGAGTATAGTATGATCTACCCGTGGATAGTGAGACAAGTGGCAATAGCTATCAGTCCCTTCCCGCACCACCTCCTTCCCCTCCTTCTCCCCGCCTTGCCCGAACAGCCCACCTGTCAACCAACCCAGCTGCTTCCCGGAGGACCGACGGGTCAGACGAGGCCAGTGGGCTGGTCAGGGCGAGGGAGAGGGAGGGAAGGCGGGGAGGAGGGATGGAAGATGAGGTGGTTAACAAGACTACACTGGTATGCCGCCCGATCTTGTGTCCGGATGCCCGTGTCGTCGTCTCCTGTCGACTGCTCACGGCCAGCAACTCGCCGCTCGCTCGCCCGCCCGCTCAACCACTCACAGCCAAGCCAGATCAAGCCCGATGAAGCTCAGCACGACCTGCAGCTGGCTGTACAGGGAGAGTGGCTGGAGTATCGCTGTCATCGATACCCATCGGAGTGTAGATGGCTGGAGTGGGATGAGTGTGATGGCTGCTGCTGCTGGCGCTCCAGCTGTGGCCGAGGCCGAGGCGAGCAGCGAGTGATCGAGTGACGGCCAGCCGCTCGTCGCTCAGCCACTCGCCGGCATGGGCGCCGTGCTGCTGCTGTGGCGGGAGAAGAGGGAGCCCAAGCCCGAGGCGGCGATGACCAGGTTGGTGATAATGCTGATTCTGATGAGGATAGTGATGGGGGATGGGGGATGGCGATGGCTGGTGATGGGAGTGATGGTTGAGGTGGCAGCGTTCATGGTTGCGATAGCGGATGACGACCTGAGGCGGTGACCGTGGCTGAGGCCGAGGCTGCGACTGCTGGGGAGAGAGAGGGAGGATGAGAGGGATGTGACGAGGGAGAGGGATGAATGATCCATACATCGCGAGCAAGCCAGCTGCTGTGGATCACCATCGGCGCTGGATCGCTGCCGGGCGGACCCAAGTGAGCGACAGCCCAAACGAGCGAGCGCACAACCCAGGTTCGAGGCCGAGGTCGAGGATGAGAACGCAAGATCGGGATCAGGAGGACGAGCAGAAGCGGATAAGCGAGTACAATGACGCAGATACTGTTGGCCTGATGCACATGAGCGTCATCGTCGTCGTCGCCATCACCATCACCTCCATCGCCAGTCGCCAGCCCAGCCCACCCACTCCCCTGCACCGACATCGACACCAACTGACGATGGCGCACCCATGGCCACTCCCTAGCCTGATCCTACTCACCCTCTCTCTCACACCCTCCTCCATCTCGCCCCGCAACTCAAAACTGCCCCTCCACCAATCCCAAGCCCTCGTCTCCATCGACACCCCTCCTGCCAACTGCGCCGCTGATCATGACTGGGCCCAAGTCCGACTGGCTGAGAACAAGCCACTCCTCATCTCACTCTCCTCCTCAACCACATCCTCACCCCTGCCTCCCCTCAACTCCTGCACCCACTCCCATCGGCCTACCCATGCTTCAATCCCGACGACGACGGGCACAGCGACTTGGACGGCCCGACAGCAATCGCATCAGCAAGACCAGCAGCATCAGCAACACCACCTCTACCCTACCCAACACAACCCAATCACAAGTAACAAGATCACACCCACCGCCATCGCCCCCATCCCCACCATGACTCTTGCCCCTCGTCATTTACTGCCCAGCCTCCTCCACCTTCACAAGCCCTCCCCCGATAAAGTACTCGGCCACCATCCGCCGCCGCTCTCTCACCTCGCTCAGCACGCCACGGATCGAGTTGCACGACATGCCTTCCTCGACATGCATCCGCAGCACCTCCTCCCTGCTCGGCATCCGGATCGCCCCCAGGAACTTGCGCCGCTTCCACTTGCGGTACTCGCCAGACGACATCCCACTGCTGGATTCTGAGCTTGAACCGCTGCTCCCCGCATCGCTCACGGCGTCAATCACACACGACGACTCCCCGTCATCGCCGCTGTCCCACATCATCGGCAGCGCCTTCCTCCGTCGCCGCGCTCGCTTTCGCGCAATCCCCTCCACCACGCTCACCACCTCGACCACGCTCCACCAGCCAGCCCCAAACACAGCCTTGCTGTCGGCGTCAAACACCACCCACCGCCGGACCATCTCGCGCAGCAAATCCTCCACAAGCGCAAGCCCGGGCCGCAGCACACCCGCCACATGCGCCATCTCCTCACGTGTTGGTCGTAGCCGCATAGCAGAGCACATGCACGTGTTAATCGCTCTATGCAAGAAGCCAAAGCTGTTGCCCATCCGCGTTACTTGCCGTTGCGGGTGAAGAAGCCCGACCCGAGGTGGCGGCCGTTGAGATGAACCTCGCCGCAGATGTCGACAGACATGGTCGTGATGAGGCCGGCGCAGCGCTCGACATCGTTGAATTGCAGCGCAATCCAGTGAATAAACTCGGGGAAGAGTAAAGCTGTTCGCTGATTCGATGACTGCCGGCTTTCATAACTATCGCTTCTTCAGCGATGCCTTCTTCTTCGGTGGTCGTCGCCCTTCGTCCTCGGTAGCCGTGCTTGATGGCGCTGCGCCCACCGTCTTGACCTCGCGCCGTTTGCGCTTCTTTCCAACTAGCAGCGAGAACACAGATCGCGTCGGCTTGGTCCGAGACACCAGGGCCATCGGCAGCGACGCAGACCGTTTGAGAGGACGGGATGCTCGCGCAAACGCCGTGTGCTCCGGCGGCGATCCGTACGGGAGCCCGCTCCCGGCCACCGCCATCTCCACAGACTCACCCGACTCGCCCGAGTCGGTCGCCGGAGCCGGCGCCGTCGCCACTTCCCGAGCCACAGTCACAGTACCCGAGCCTTTCATGCTTGCCACTGCTGCGGACAGCCCTTTGCCCGGACTCGGGCACCAGACCTTGGTCATCCGCTCCACCGCCTCAAAGCTCCCGTTGCTCGCCTCGTCGTCCTCATCCTCATCCTCATCCTCGTGGATCATGACCGCCTGAGGCTCACTCTCTCCGCCGCCGCCATCTTCTCCACTAGCTTGCTCTGGCCAAGCCTCGCCAGTCGCCGCTCCATTGCTCCCATTGATCGCCCCAGCCGCAGCCCCCGCCGCAGCCCCCGCCGCAGCCCCAGCCGCAGCCCCAGCCGCAGCCCCCGCAGCTGGCCCAGTCGCAGCCACCTCAGCCTCCTCCTCCGCAGGCACCTTGTCCTTCTCGCTACCACCATCCCCAGCAACAGCACCAGTTGCTTCCGTGACTGTAACCGCAGCTTCCGCTGTTCTTGCTGTTATGGCCGCAGCTGCTGCGGCTCGGCCCCGTGACCGCGACCGTGTTCGTCTGCGACTTGTCGCCTCCGCTGCCTCTGTTGGTGCTGGTGCTGCTGCTGGCGGCGGTGGTGGTGGTACACTTGCTTCCGCCACCGCCTCTACACCACCACCACCACCACCACCACCACCACCACCACCACCACCACCACCACCGTCGCCATTCGCATTTGTCGCCACTCTCTTGTCGCCCTTCCGTGCTCGAGACGTCGTCATCACCGTGCCACTCCCGAAGGGCAGCGACCAGTCGAGTCTATCCCTTCGCAAGTGTCCACCATCACCACCACCCACCACCACCCCTCAGCCATCACCCATCAGCCATCAACCTACGATGCCCCCAAATCCCACAGCTGTCGGCTCGCATCCTTGGCCCCGTCACATCCACTCTTGACGCCATCAGCTCATTCATCACACAGCCATCGCACCGATGACAAGCCATCAGTCGGACATGACCATCACAGCACATGACAGAAGGCAGTGACCCCCCCCCCCCCCCCCCCAGTCCGCCCAGCCTGAACCAACCTCGCACCTTGTGCCACCCGCTCACCGCCTCATCACCACCTCGATCACTGCACTGCCACTGCCACTGCCACTGCCACTGCCGCTGCTGGCCGTCGCCATCATTTCTCGCCAACTCTCGTCACCTGCCCCCCCCCCCTCCCCCCCCCCCAACCCACACCGCTCTCTCCCTCTCACACATGCATCCGCTGCTTCTCATACTTCTCGTTGTCACCGTTACTGCGCTGTCCGCCTCGGCATCTCCTCTGACTTGGCCGTCGTCATTCTCGGCTAATCTCATCGAGCACTCCTGGGGCCCGCCATGGTCACCGTCAGCTCCGCCTGGTTCTGCCCATGCCTCTCCGGGGAGTGTGGCTTACGACTGGTCGCGTCGTTCTATGCATATATATCGAAGTGATGGCAGATTCAATCCTATCTGCGCAGAGGTCAAGCCGGGCATGCCCGAGCCGTGCATCCATCTCATGCCATCTACCGATACCCGCCTGCTCCTCTTCCCGCACTCAAAGCAGTGCTGCACGTACTGCAACACGACGTGTGGGACAGAGTCGCCAGACTGGGTCCATGCTGTTCCATCCGTCTTTGCCGGCTGGCTTCCCATCGCAAACGAGACCTGCGCCCTTTGGGTGCTCTCCTCGGACACCCCGGATCGGGTCGGTCTCGCTGCAGACGGCTCCGGTCGTCTTTGCAGTCTCTACGACGGCGGTGCTGACTACACCGGTGATGGCGCCTGGCAGTGGGTCATTGATCCGACCACCTACTCTACTACAGTTCCTGCGGCAGTCTTTGATCTTCCCGTCTGGTGCACGACACCCGAGGCCAGCTGCCGCTCGCTGTGACCTCACCGCATCAACCACGCCCACGCCATCGCAACCCACCACCACACCGCCGTCCACGCTCCTCCCATACCCGCCCTGGACCGCCCCGACGCCTCGCGGGCGATCACGCCCGGGACATCCTCCCACCCGCTCACGCGCGCTGCAACCACACGGTCGGGTCGGACAACCACCAGCGGTGCCGCGTCGAAATCCCGTAGCGCCGCTGCCGCCGTCAGCCCAGCCTCCGATGCCACTTCGAGATGCAGCGCCCATTGCGGCTCGCCGCTCCTTCTTCTCCCACGCTCGCCAACCACCAGCCAGGTTGTCTCGATTGCTAGCTGCGGACACTCTGCTGGCAGACGCGAGTCTGCCTGCTCTGCCGCGCACACCACCGCAAAGCCAGCCACATCGCTGCTCCACGAGCTTTGCGCATCAAAGACAGGCACCGTGTCGCCGACGGCAAGCCCCACTCGCGGCACGAATCGGAGCTTGCGGACAACCCATTCCGGTGCTGCATTCAGCCCGGCAAGAACCATGTTGCGGAGAGCGACAAAGGCTCGCCAACTCGTTGCCACCGCAGCCGACATGATCCGCGCATACCACATCGCCGCCCAAACGTGCGGCCGGCGCTCTGCCTCATACTGTGCCACTATCTCCGGTGAGCCGTGGTGCGCAAGCGCGAGCCAGATCTTGCTCGCCACACACGCTGCGTCGCGGAGGCCGGAAACTAGGCCCTGGCCGCCAAACGGCGGCAGCATGTGAGCTGCATCGCCAACAAGCGCGACCCGCCCGCCCAGCGCTGTAAATCTGTCTGCCGTCCGTGCATGATACGTGTAAACGGCGCTGCGGACAACGCAGGTTTCCAGCTCCTGGGCTGAACCAAAGTCCAGTCCTCGCTCAGATAGCGCTCCGCGGAGAAAATCCAACTCGCCCGCGCGGAACGCCTCGATCTCGCCGGCGTTCAGGGCAAACTCGGCCCGGATGTGATCGAACGGCAGTGGGAGGTGGACGCCGGGCCGCGACGGTGCGCAGAGAAAGTGGAACCCACGATTGAGTGCGTCCAGCTCGCCGGCGCCGCGACGGACCGACTCGGGCACATCGACAAGATCCGCCACCAGCCACCGCTCCTCCGCCCACGACATCCCACTCAGACCAATACCCAGCGCGCCCCGAGCTGTAGAACTTCCGCCGTCGGCAACAACTACGTACCGCGCGGTCATGATCACCTGCTCCGGCCCGTCGACCGCGGTCCGCACCACCTCGATCAGGCTTGCATCACCCGACGACGCCCGCACATCCAGCACTTCCGAGCCCAGTACCAGATCTACGTTCTCCCGCGCCTCAAGCACCGCACGCAGGCCAGACTCGACCGCTGGTTGGTAGAAGAACGAGACGGTCGGAAAGCCGTGATCTGATGTCGCTGATGGCAGTGTCAATCTTGGCCGCACTCGCCGATCGCCACCATCGCGCTCTTCCAAGGTCGAGAGGTGAACCGCCAGCGGCAGCGGATGGTCCAGCAGCTCGTCACTCAGCCCGGCATCGGCCCAGATCCGCAGGCCGTCGGCATCCACCGCTCCTGCCCGCGGCTGGGTATTGACTTCGAGCTCGCGCTCGACGACCGCCACGCTCAGCGCGCGATGTCGGGCGAGCAGCGCAGCCGTGGTGGCACCCACAGGCCCACAACCAACCACCACCACGTCGTACATCCTCTTACAGCCACAGGCTCCCCGGCGACGTGTGTCGTGGCCCGTACCCTGCAGTAGTCGGCCTTGGCCAGCAGGCCTCGCTAGCCTCGTCGACTCGCCGCGTCACCGCCTTGCGCCTGGCCGACTCAGCCGACTCGGCCAACCACGATGACCCCGCCCAACACGCTCGGTCACTCCCGACATCGCACAAAGCGAGACTGACACATGTCAAACACGGCCAAGGCCATCATGGTCACCATCATGAGCGTCATCACTATCTTGCCTGCCGCTTTTTGGAAGGTTCGACGACGGTTCGATGGCGTGCTGTGTCGTATTCGTTCCAATGAGTTCGTTCTTCCTTCCGTTGATCTTCCTGTCGCCGCCCGAACAAATACACTCTCTCCTCTCATTCCTCCTGCTGGCTATCCGATCCGGCAACACTCATCGCGACATCCTACAACATGGCCTCAACTCGTCAGGTCAAGTCATGTGGCTATCTGCTGTTTCGCGTGCCAGACGACTCCAATGAGCTTGAGTTACTGCTCATGGTTCACAAACATCGGTTCGATCTGCCCAAGGGACATGTTGAGGACGGCGAGTCCGAGTCGGAGACCGCGGCCCGCGAGGTAATGGAGGAGACCGCCATCGACATTGCCCTATGCCGGACTCTGGACTTTTGCGCAAGATCGTCGTACACTACGGCCTACAGGCGCTTTGGTGGTGAGACCGTCCGCAAGACCCTCGTGCTCTTTGCTGCTATCGTTCCCGCCGCCGCCGCCGACGCCATCGTGCTCGACGAGCACGCCGACTATGCATGGGTGCCGTTCAGTGATCTCGCTGCCGGCACCTTGATCACCACCACACATGGCTCAGAGAGGACAATGTCTCTCAACAAATCGATCCAGGCGGCCGTGGCCGAGGTCGATCCGGTGCTGCGGGCGGACGGCGAGCTGGCGCCGCTGATGCCAGACAGGCCGCCACAGACCGCCAAGCCCAAAGCACGCGGCCGCGGGCGCAACCGCAATCGCAAGAAGAACAACGCCGGTACCGAGGCAGACTCCACTGTTCGTGGACGCGGGCGTGGGCGTGGGCGCGGCCGCGGGCGCAATCGTGGAAAGGCCAAGGCTGCGCCGGAAGCGCCGTCTGCGCTGGACCCGAGCCTGCGGTCGCTCGTGGTGAGCGTCCGCTCGGCTGACGACTGCTACGACGTGTACATTGGACGCGCCAACCCGCGGATCCGTGGTGGCGACGCGCCCAAGTGGGGCAACCCGTTCAAGATCGGCGGCCCGGACTCGCTCACCCGCGACGACGTCGTCCGCATGCACCGCGAGTGGCTCTTGGGTCGCATTGCCGACGAGCCCGGCTTTCTCGACGAGCTCCGGTCAGAGCTGGGTGGCAAGGTCCTTGCGTGCTGGTGTGCACCCAAGGCCTGCCACGGTGACTTTCTAGCAACAGTCGCCAATGCTGACGACGCCGCTCTCACGGCGCTGCTCAGTCCCGGGCCATGAGTCCGCGCCGCAACTTGAGCGCGTCGCGGTCGGTCCATCCAGACGGCACAGCCCCGTTCAGCTTGCCAACAGCATGCTGCGCTCGCTGTGCAAAGGCCTCGGGGCTCTCACCGTTGTCTCGCACCAGCGTACTTCCGACAGTCACTGTCCAGCTCGTCATCGGCGCAAAAAAGAGCCAGCACAGCTCGCGAACTAGGTTTGATCCGAGCATGCCCGGCACCAGCGGGAGGCCGACGACGGCTGCCGAGAGGGCGACCGGGACAACTGGAACACCCACCGAGAACACAAACCGATTGAACCGCAGCAGACACCGTCCATTGGTATCCCATCCCTCAGGGAAGAACAGCATCGGTGCGCCATTTGTATCAACCGCCGCCGCGTGGACCTGCGCCCGTGTCGACGCGCCGGCGGACTTATCGATCGGGACAGCACCGATGATCCCACCAAAGACATTCAGAACACGAGCGTAGAAGCCAGCATCTAGGACGACTCTTACACGCGTAACCGCCAGGAGTGGGAAGACGTCAAAGGCCGAGACGTGCGATGCTGCAAGAACAGCACCTTCCTCTCCTGCCTTGCGCAGACGAGCCACATCATGATCAGCCACCACAACACGGATACCAAAGAGCCAAGCCAAAGTACGAACAATAGACGGCGTAAAGAATGACGGGGGAAGACAGATCAGCATGGGAACGAGGCCGATGACCAGCACAATCCATCGCACGGTAGCCAAGACGAGTCCAAACGGCGTCCACATGGCAAGCACAGCCCATTGACCTGCTCTCTTGGCGGAGACATGTCCGTAGAAGAACAGCTCGGGAAGCGCAAGCTCGCCACGACCAGCACATCCTTCGCCCGCCTGGACATCGCTATCATCGTCTTGCTTTCCTTTGTCCCTTCTCTTGCTCATGCTCGCCTCGTCTCCTCCTCCTGCGCCAGCCGCTTCTCGCGCAAGTCGCGTGTGTCTGTCACCACGCGAAACGATGCCACTGACTTGGCTCGGGCTCTGACTGGGCTGATATATTTTTGTGGGCGGGGAAGCATGGGCTCCGCGCCAAGTAAGATCGATCCATATGTTTTCGCGGTTGTACAATGCAGATGTGTGTATGGTCTTGCTCATGGGCTGCAGAAGGTGGCTATCAAAGTTTGTATGGCGTGCGTGGAGACTCGCCAACCATGTTCACCGACGCCATTCGCCGATCGCTGATCACGAGCAATCACGCGCGATCTGAGGGCTATTTACCTGACATGTGCCCACCGCCGCGCTGCTGGCGGACAGCTCACTCGTCCTCGCTCATGACGTCCTCGACGGCGTCGCGCAGCTTGGCGACGCGAGCGGCAAGATCCTTGGCGTGTGCATCGTACGCCTGACGGGACCGGGCGAGGGCAGCCACGCGGTCCTTGACGGTGTCGACCGCGGCCTGGATAGCGCCCTGTGAGACCTCGACGACGCTGCCGCTGATGTCAGGCGTGCTCGCGTCGCCTGCGTCCCACGACGCAAACGAGTCGGCTTCCGAGCCGTGGTCCCACTGTGCAAAGCGGTCTTGTTGAGCATGGGCGCGGGCACGGGCGCGAGCCTCGCCCACGCTCCGCAGCCGGGCCACGACCGCACGATGGACAGCGTCGCGCTGGTGCTTGTTGAGCGGGACGAGGGTCCCGGGCTCTGGCCGCCCGGCGTCACCCGCAAGCCGGCGCATGATCCGCCCGCGCGGATGCGAGAGCTTCGGGTAGGCGGCGTGGATGGCGGCCGAGGTCTGGTAGAAGACGGCATCACGGCGTCCTCGTGTACCGACCTGGCGCCGCTTCCCGCCCCGACGGTCGAGGCCAGTGAGCGCCACCAGCGCCCGATGGCCGCGACCAATGTTCTCGCCCGGTGCAACCTCGGGCGGACGCTGGCTCTCGGCCTCGAGAATGTGCGACCGGAACTTACCCGGGTCCAACAGCTGGGTCAGCGTCCGCGTGATCTGCGGCATGAGGTCGTCGCGGCGGGTGAGCGAGGCGGCAACGTGCTTGCGGAAGTAGGCCTCGACAACGGTCTTGATGCAGAGTAGGATGACGGGGACGTGAAAGGCCACGTAGTGGTCGGTCTCCCTCAGTGGGATTTCCAGCTCCACCATGTGTGTGACGACGCCAACAAGCGCCCATCCGAGCGCCTCAGTATCGCGTGTCTCGGCAACGTGGACACCGTGGACGTAGGTGATGGCCTCGCGGATAACTGCGCTCACAAACTGCGAGATAAGCGCCTCCTCGGCAGTCCGGCACTCGCTGGCGCTCACACCAAGCGATGAGGCAAAGGCATGAAGCGGAAACATGTCAAGGAAAACCTTCTGCATCTCCTCCAGCTCACGCCCGTCGATGGCCAGCGGCCGCCGCCGCTCTCCGCGCGCCCGCAGCTCGGCCTCGTCGTCAAGCACCGTCGACCGCATCCGTCCCAATAGGCTTCCGCCGATAGTTTTGTCGCCGGCATGGTTCTCGGCCTCTTTCGCCATGAGCTTGGAGATCTCGAGCATGCCGCGCCGGACGAGGGTGGCCCGGTCGACGTACGCGCTCCGGGCCGCCGCCGCCACCTCTGGTGCCAGGTCTCCTTCCGGGTGGGACTGACCGTCACCGTCGTCGTCGCCGTCGTCATCATCATTACGGCCACCGGCCCTAGCCTCGCCCTCGCCCTCGCCGTCAAACAGCAGCCGGTCGAGCGCAGCTTCTTTGAGGGCCTCGTCGACAGCCTTGCCGGCACCAAAGTACGAAAAGTGGTTGTGATGGAGCGCAAGGTGGGCTTTGGGCTTGGCGACCGGGCCTGGATCGACCATGACGTAGTCGTTCGACCAGCCCATGGAGGCGTAGTACTCGCGGATGGCCGAGTCCGGAATTGGGAAGGCATCCATACAGGCAGCAATGTTGGATGCCGATGGCGTGACGCCGAGCGACTCGAGGTAAGAGGTAGCGTACAGCTTGCGGACCCGATTACGGAATATCTTTGCGCGACGCATGGCCTCGCGCTTGGCCCGCGACACCCGTCTGGTGTGGACCCGTCCGCCGTCGAGCTCGTCGGGCGGCGCGACGTAGCGATCAGACGGCTTGAGCGGGAATGAGGCAGTGAACGGCTGGACCACCTCTGCGCGCAGCAGCATCCGCTCAACCTCGCGGCCATGCATGAGGACCTCGCCCTGGCCCGATCGCACATTACCAGCCCTGATGACGCCGTGTAAGCGATGGCCTGCGCTTCCTCTCCGTCGTGCCACAACGGTAGCCCTCCGACCCGAGTCCCACTTGCGGAACCTACCGGAGCTCTTCTTCAGCGGACCCAGCCCAGCACCAGGCCGCCGCTTTCGACCCTTTGCCCGACCTCTACGACCCGATCCCCTCCACCAACCACGTCCCCTCCTTGCATCATCGCCCATGGCTCTTGCCGCCCGGACGGTCTCCTCCCTCCCACCATAAGCCAAGAGCAGACGATCACGAGAACGAGCAGAACGAAGACCACGACCATGACCATGACTACCATTGCCGGTCTCGGAAGAGGTGATGCGACCATGGCCATGACCACCACCATTACCACCGGCATCATCATCATCATCATCATCATCATCATCATTGTCATCATCGCCATCATCATGGCCACCATGACCACCACCACCACCATCACCACCACCGATGGCAGCAGCAAAAATGACAGCAGAAGTGGACATGGTATCGGCACGGAGAGAATCAACAGAAACTGCTGATCGAAGACGATCATGACGACTATGACCCCGACCCCGACCCCGACCATGACCATGCCCATGCCCATGGCCATGACCATGGCCATGACCTGGCTGCGACTCGCTTGCTCTCAAACTGCCACTCCTACCAACTCCGAGCTGGGGTGCATGGCCAGCATGTCGTGTCTCGTACCACTCACGGTAGAGGCTGAGCAGTTGGTTCGCTGCGCCACTCGTGCTGCTCATTGCCGCAGAGTCACGTCTTTGCCCGTCGTCCGTGTTGGCTGGTGGGCGGGCGGTTGGCGGGTGGCAGGCGGGTGGACGGGCGGGCGGGCGGCGGACGGGCGACGGGCGGTTGTGGGCGCGCTGGCTGATTAGCAGCGGGAATCGACTCGTCAGGATCTAGGCCATGGGCTATTGGATGGGCTGATTTCGGCGGACGGGCGGCGGGACGTTTCTGCGGTTTACTGCTCACAACAACGCACCCGAGTCCCGGACAACGTCCACCACGCCTCTCACCTCGAGCGCAGAGGCCGGCATGTACCGCTGGACAATGGCGGAGACTGGGACGATGCGGTAGCCGTTCGAGCCGTAGACCGCGACCTTGGAGTCGCCGGTAGCATCGGCGTCGGCCGCGCCCGGGTAGACGCGGGCAACCTCGGCCGACGACGGCGCAAAGTACATCGAGACGACGTAGAAGGTACCAAAGTCGCGGGTGTCGAACTGGGCGTAGATGCGTCCAAAGGCGTGCCCGCTGCTGTCGTGAAAGTAGATGTCGTGCTGATAGTCGCTCGAACGGAACCGGAGCAGCGGCCGCCCGCGGAGCGCAAACTGCAGATGGTCGGCCAGCGGCCCGTACCGCCATCCAGCTGCGTTAGCCGCCGCAATGCCATCCTTGACCTCGCGCGGGACGCCAACGTTCTCCTTGGCACCGGCGACGAGGACGCCTACGTTTCCGGCCGGCACACTGCGAAGGCCCGGCGCCTGCGGCGCAGCAGTAGCGGTGGTGACCCGCAAGACGCGCTGCATGAGCGCGGTCATCCGCTCGTCCTCGAGCCGGTCATTCTCCGCCTCGCGCTTACGCGCCGCCTCCAGCGCCGCCGCCTCGGTCTCAGCTGCCGCTGCCTCGCGCGCCGCCGCCGCCTCGGCCTCGGCTTGCAGCTTGGCCAGTCGCTCGGCCTCGGCCGCCGCTGCCGCTGCTGCCGCCACCTCGGCCGCCCGCCGCTCCTCCTCGATCTTGCGTTGGCGCACGAGCTCGATCTGCCGCAGCCGCTGCTGCTCCATCGTCTCCTGCAGCCGCTTGGCGAGGAGCGCGTCGTCGGCGTCGAGCCCTCTGTTTGCAAGCTTCTTGCGCTGCTCCTCCTTGGCCTTCCGCTCAGCCTCTTCCTTGGCCCGCCTGCGGGCCTCGGCAGCCTCGATCTCGGCGCGCTTGCGCTGCTGGCGCTTTGCGAGTGAGGCTTGCTGCTTGAGGACCTCCTGCGACGCAGCCTCGCCGTGCGACCGCATCCGCGACCGTGCTGTCTTGATCCGCTTGTTTCCAGACTGAGTCTCGTCGTACGTCTCCACAATGTCCATGGCCCCGCGCGACGCCGCGAGTGCCGCCACCGCGAGCGCCGCCGCGTCGGCCTGCGCCTTGGCCGTTGGTGTCAGAGCCGCAGAGCTCGGCTCTTCAACGTGCTTGGGGAGCACGCTCGGTGTCCCTGCACCCGACTCGCGGCTCTGGCTCCGCTTGCGCTTTTTGGATGACTTGTCCGGCACAACGCGCGGGGCTGCTGTCGCCGCCACAGCATCAGCTTGCCGGCGGACAGCCTGCCGCGCCCGCGCCACTGCCTGCTGCTGCTCCAGCTGCTTCCGCGCCAGTGCGGCATCGCGTTCAGCCTGCTGCTGCCGCAGCCTGATCTGCTCTTCCTGTGCCCGCGCTTGCGCCTGTGCTCTCGCCTGTGCCTGTGCCTGTGCCTGTGCCTGTGCCTGTGCCTGTACCTGCTCCCGCGCACGCTGTGCGTCAACGGCAGGTGTGGGTGCCACATCCATGGGTGCGACGCCCGACGGCAGCGACGACGGCGGTGGAGCTGTGTGGATGGCCTGGCGGCGGGCCTGCTCCTGTGCGGCAGTCATGGCATGGATTCGGGCGGACGATTCAGCAATTGAACGCGCGCGCGCGGCTTCCATCGCCCGCGCTCGCTCTGCGAGCTTAGCCTCGGCAGCTGCACGTGCTGCAATCTGCTCTTGCTTCTCCAGCTCGACGAGTGCGTGGCGCGCCCGCGCGGGTGTGCGAGGCAGCGCTGCACGTCAGCGAGCGAGACTTGCTTGGGCTCGAGGACGAGCTCACCGCTCCGAAGCATGTTGAGCAGCGACGGGACGCCTCTGTTGAGAGGTTTTTTGACGCCCGGAATGTTGCCCTGGACGTCAAAGATCTCCCAGATCGAATACGGGTCACGCTCCCAGCTGGTCGACTCGTCTTCGACATACTTGCCCACCATCGGATCGTACATGGCGATCTTGAGCTCGCACCACCCGGCACGATCCGAGGCGTGAATAGCGACGATGCGACCGTACGAGAGCTCGCCGTCCATCTCAATGCAAAGTACTCGCGCTTCTTCCACTGGCGCATCCGAGCCAGATGATACAGGTCGGCGAGGATGACCGAATCGACCGAGTAATGCGAGTTGATGTGGGTGACGGTGAACCGATAACCAAAGAACTTTGACGTGACGTCGTTGACCACGAGGACGGCGACCCAGTCTTGGTCGTTTGACCGCTGCACGCTCTCCACCACGCAGTAGTACTTGACGCCGATCGCGTTCAGTGGGCTCTTGCTGATGTGCTCGTAGTTGGGCACCGCCATCCGCTCTTCCAAGTTGCTCTTCCGCACGTGATCCTGCATATAGTGGCCCTCGTACAGATACACCACATTGTCACCGGCCTGGAACTTGCGCGTCAGCTCTGGGCTCTGTAAAATCAGCGCCTTTGGCTTGCGCGACATGGCTACTGCTAGCTCTGCTCTTTGCTCAGACCAGTAGACTTGTCTGCCGGCAAGTTGTCAGCCGATGCCTCGTTGTCAGCCACCACCAGGTTGTCGGCCGATGTCTCGTTGTCTGCCGGCAAGTTGTCAGCCGATGCCTCGTTGTCAGCCACCACCAGGTTGTCAGCCGATGCCTCGTTGTCAGTCACCACCAAGTTGTCAGCCGATGCCTCGTTGTCAGCCACAGCCAAGTTGTTCGCCACGACCAAGCTGTTCACGACCAGCACGTTGTCAGCCACGACCAACCAAGTTGTCCGCAACCGGTCCTTCGTGTCGGCAGACTCGGTCACTCACACCTTCGGCTCCACAACCAGCCAGCCAACCGCAACCACAACCACAACCACAACCACAGTCACAGCCACGCCCTCTACCTCTACCTCTACCGTGTCCCTTTTTTCCGGAACAACAAGGCAACGACCAAACTGGCCTCCAGTATACTCGGGCCGCCCACCGGTGGCGAAAAGTGTTGCACCCGGACCCCGCCCAACCCCGCCGACCGAGTCGCACGCGCACTTGGCCACACGGCCACCTCGGCTCACTGACACACAAACAACAAGGTCGAACGGAAACAAATTGTTTAACTACGTCGCGCCCTATGCCGACTACTCGATGGGCGCAACCTTGTTACCGCGCCGCTTGCGTGCGGTGCTTGCTTGCGGCTTCTCTGACGATCGAGGACGTGTCTGCCCGCCGGTCGACGAGACCGACCGCCTGCGGCTGTTGCTGCTGCCGGTGCTGCCGTGGTTAGGCGGCGGGCGGGCACTGCGTGGCGAGCCGGCACGGAAGATGCGGCCACCGGCAGCAGCGCGGGAGCCGCCGCCGCCGGTGTTGGTCGACGAGAGCCGACGCGACCGCCCATCGTCCGAGCCCGAGACCGCCGACCGCGACGACTCGAGCGAGGCCATATTGGCTGTCGACGTCGACTTGGACTTGCCGTCGCCCCCGCTCCGTCCGCCGGAGAGCGAAGCATTGGCGCCGCGCCCGGCCTTGGCCTTGGGCGACTTGCCGCCAGCATTGCCACTGCGAGCGCTAACTACCGGCCGGCCGCCCTGATTGAGGAGTAAGCCTTTGCGGGTCGACGACTTGCGCGCCATGTTGCGCCAGTGCGCAACGTGGCGGACAGGCATGAGTGCCATGGCAAACGACTGTCCGGTATCCTGCGAAAAGGCAAAGCCCTTGGAGAACGAAGCCGAGCCGGAGGCGAGCGTATTGTTGGGGTCGGCCGCCACCGCGAGCGCCGACTTGTTCTTCTCCTCCATCCGGTCGAGGAGCTTCTTGTGCGCCTTGATCTTGGACTTTTGCATCTCCTGGATGATGTGCACCCGCCGCGGCGCGAGCTGCCGGGAGAGGAATGCGTACGTCAGGTCCGGCACAAGCGCCGTGACCGGGACAACCAGGCAGGTGAGCCAGAACCGCGGGTCCGCAAAGAGCTCAAAGGCAACCCAGTACATTTCCGGGAAGAGCGACGGGACAAGCGAGCCAAAGATGAGGAGGACGAACCAGTTGGCGAGCGAGACAACGACTGCCGCAAGGTTGTACCACGTCCAGTTACGGATCTCCAGTGCGAGCTTACCGGTCACCACAAGGACAACACAAGTAAAGACGACCGAGCCGAGAAGAAACACGCCGCTGTGCTGCCCGTCCGCCGCCGCCGTCGTGCCCGAGTATACGCCGCGGACGCCGAAAAAGATGACTGCTGAGTGGAAGATGGCGTTGGCGATCCAGAGGACAAAGAGCTTGACGTTGAACTCCTTCTTGTTCTGCCCGTCAAAGTAGAGCTCGGGGAACTCGAGTGACGACTCGTGGCTGACGTCCTGGTCGATCGAGGCGAGGATGATGATAGGGAGGCCAGCAAAGAGCACGTTGAAGAGCGGAATGTAGTTGGAGTGGTACAGCGTCTGGCCCGAGAACGCCGACGAGAGGGCAAACCAAAACTGCGGCATGACAAATGTCATGTTCTTGTAGAACGAGTAGAGAATGAGCTTGGAAATGCGCTGGTAGTTCCACCGCCCGTGGATGAGCAGCAGCCGCTTGAGGTACTTGAACTGCGCGATCGCGTAGTCGGATGCCATCACGGCCTGCATGCCTTCGTTGCCCGAGATCCCGATCCCGATGTGCGCAGCCTGGATCATTGACACGTCGTTAGCGCCGTCGCCGATGGCAAGCGTCACCACCGGCTCGGAGTCCTTGACCAGACCCACCACAAGCGCCTTTTGCAACGGCGAGACGCGGCAGCAAATGACCGACTTGCACAGGTTGCCGAGCTGGAGGAACCGCGGCGCGTTGCTCGCGGCCAACGCATGCTCGAGCGTGGCGCCGTCGATGACCAGCCCGACATCACCCTCGTAGTCCGAGTACTTGGCGATAGCGTCGTCGAGCGCCGAGGCCACGGCATCTTCCGTGTCGGCGTCGAGAATGACGAGCGACATGCCTTCGTAGAGGAGCGCGCATGAGTACCCGATGTTGATTGCTGTCTCCTGCTTGTCACCCGTGAGTACCCAGACTTTGATTCCGCCGTGGAGCAGGTTCTGGATGGTGTCGGCCACGCCGTCCTGAAGCTTGTCCTCGATGGCCGTCGCACCGAGGAGCACGAGCTCGCACTCGATCTTGGACTGCACCTCCTCAACCTTTTCCTTGCGGTTGATGATGGTGGCCGAGGCCTTGACAAATTCGGCGGCCCACGGCGTGTACTCGGACTCGGGAATGTCGCGGACGGCGAGGACGAGCGTGCGGAGCCCATCGCGCGCAAATTCTTCGAGGTGCTGCGATGTGACGTCCATGAGCTCTTTCTGGCCACCGGCGAGCCGCTCGTATATGACCGAGTCGGCGCCCTTGCAGTAGAGCTTGATGTTGCCGTCGGGCGTCCGGACAATGACCGACATGCGCTTGCGCGTCGAGTTGAACTCGAGGACGTGGAGGAGCGTGTAGACTGCCGGCTTGCCAAAAACCTCGATGACTACCTCGGACGCCGACCGCGACGCAAACTTGTAGCCGAGCCCGCGCGCGGCCTCGACAAGCGCACCCTCGTCCGGCGACGACGCCATGTACTTGGTCGTGTCCGCCACCGACGGGCCGGTGCCGTCCGACGATGATGTCCGCCCGGGCGTGACCGCCTCAGAGCCCGAGGCCTCGTCGCCGTCGCTCGGCTGCGCCGTCTCGGGAATGACGGTGTGGCAGAGGGCAAGCATGCGGAGGAACTCATCCAGGACTGGTGCCGTCGGATGTCCGTTGCGGAGGTTCTCATGGATGGTCGGGTCGTCAAAGTAGAAGAGCCCGTCCTCGGAGAACTTTTCTGTGTCCGGCGGCGGCATGAGCGTCCGGCCCTCGCGCATGGCCGCTCCGATGGCCGCCTCGGTCACGGCGTGCCCGTACGACACGCCGCCAGCCGAGCACTTGAGAAACTCCATGGTGTTGCACGTGAGCGTTCCCGTCTTGTCCGAGAACACGTAGTGTACTTGTCCGAGCTCCTCATTGAGGTTCGACGTCCGCGCCTTCATCGGTGTGTCAGTCACCGGGTAATACATCTCAACATCCCACTCCATGAGCTTGGCTTGGACCACCCGGACCATCTCGGCCGAGACGTAGAGCGAGATGGGAATCATGACGTTAAGCAGGATCATAAAGGTGAAAACCCGAGCACGCCAGAGAGCGCTGCGTCGTTGCCGGCGTCGGTGGCCAACGAGCCCATGTAGTTCGCCTTGGACACCGTGTTTTCTGCGTATGCAAAGTTGGAGACGCCGGCCACCGCGCAGAGGACGAGCTGAAACACAAAGATGATAAACACATCCTTGTTCATAATTCGGTCAATCTGCGACCGCTTCGACGGCGGGTCCATCGAGTTGCGCATGAGCTTGGTATCGTGCCCGGTGTAGACCGCCACGCCGTAGACCCACTCGGTGTTGCGGAGGTTGCAACCGCGGAGGCAGACCTTGCGGTTGTCGAGCGCCACACCTGTGGTGCCCTCGCGCTCGCTTGGCTTGCACAGATAGAGCGTGCCGGTGAAGGTGTACAGCCGGTTGTTTGGGCCCTCGCACTCGATGGTGCCTTCAAACTTGGTGAGTGCCTCGGGCGTGTCAAAGTCGAGCGTCTGCGACGGCGCCTGCCGGATCTTGAGGTTGGTCTCGCCGTCGAGGTTCGCTGTCTCAATGTAGCACGTCCCCTGCTCGCCCGAGGTCGAGAGGAGGATGACATCGCACGGAAAGGCCTCGCCCGAGGTGACGTAAACAATGTCGCCCACACGCACAGACTCCCAGCTCACCTCCTCCACGGTTGTACACCCGGGCCGCAGCACTCGCGTCGTCCGCGAGTTGGTCTCCTTGTCCTGCTTTGCCCGCCTCCGGTCCTCCACGAGCTCCTTGGCGCCCGTGATGACAAGCACGAGCGCGAGCGGGAAGATTGACGCAAACGGATTGAGCGGCGAGAGGTTGGGAATAAACTGGATGCAGATGATGAGAAGAAAGTAAAAGTTAGCCAGCCGCCGGAACTGCTCGTACAGCTGCATCGGCACAAACGACCACCATGTGTACTTGGTCGTTGACGTGTGATTGTTGCAAAACGCAGCTCCGCCGCCCAGTGCGCTGGTTCCCGTCGCAACTGTCCTCAGCACACCGTCGTTCTCGGGCTCGCCCTCAAAGTAGTCCGAATCACCCGCCGAGGCCGAATCTAGATACTCACACACCTCCATCTCTGCATCCGAGCACTCGCCCTCTCCACTGGCAGACACCACAGACTCAGACGAGCCCTTGGTCGTCGACTTGGAGCGTCTGTAGCTGTGTGCAACCGGTCCACCGAGTTCACACACGGCGGCCACAACAGTGTGGCCCAGCCCGAAATCCGTCAGGAGCGAACCCCGAAGCAAGCAAAGACCAGTCACGACCGACACCATACCATGTATGATGTGATGACGCATGTGGGGCCACCCGCATCAGTCCAAATCACAACACCATTCACAACGCGAGCGACAAGTCGCCATTCACAACGCGAGCGAGAAGTCGCCATCAGACAGGGAACAACGCCGGAGGGGTTCAGGGGGAAGGAGCATTGCGGCCAGAGGGGAGGGGGGAGCACAAAGGAGTCAGCGAGGTCGAGGACGAGCATGACCATAACAAGTCATAGGTAATGGAGAAGGTGTCTGGGGGTTAGTGTGGCAAATGTAGTCATGGTTACCCTCGCCCAGCACCTGCTTGTCATGGCCATTCATGGCGAGGTGCGGGAGGGTGTCGCGCCAAAACGCAGCCATCTCAATGGCCTGCATCAAATCAACGTTCGCTTTGCATTATGATGATGCTATCCTTCTGCCAGCAAAAGGGTGGAAGTTGTGGTGAAGGCATGACGACTCAAGCTTCCACACCATGTATGGTCATTCAACCACAATCACAGCAATTACATATATATGCGCACATCTTCTGGCTATGGTATAGACTGAACACTACTCTAATAACTGCTCTGTAGCTCGAGATAGAGCTTCTCCATGGCGCCGGCCAATACAACGGGCGGCGGCGAATGACTGCTCATTGGCACTCTCCCCACACCACGCACAACGCTCCCCACACCAACAACATCATCATCATCATCATCATCATCATCATCATCATCATCATCACAAACACACACATGGCATGGGAGCTACATACCTTGCCATAGTGAAACTAGTGGGAGATACGACCCACCGAGAGGTCTGCGAGCACTTGGTTTAGCCGTCGCTGAAGCTCCTATGAACAGGAAGCCGTGCGCTGTGGTCTACTGCTCTGCCCGCTCCTCCCCAGCCAAATGAGAGAGAGCAGTGGTAACGTTTGGTGAGTAACATCAAATTTTGGTTGCTCCCGGTTTCTTTTTTTTTTGCTCCCCAGAGCAGTATCATGTAGCCATTGCTGCTGCCCTGTACACGTCTCTGCTCTTTAACATGGCCGTCATGATGGTCTCGACACCTTGTCGTATCAATGGCTGCAAGGGGGAGATGCCTGCCTTCGATCGGATCCGTGTCAAAGACCGTGGTTGATCCCCCGTGAAAAAGCTGCACCTTTGTGCACTTTTGAAACAGTCCATCACTGTAGTCACCAGGGGGCAGTGGTGGGCTGTTTCAGACGATGCCGCCATCTACCGCTTCATCTCTCAACACGTCGAGTGTGGCGCGGTATTGTTCCACTTTTTGCACAGCTGTGCACTTTGATCTTTAGAGTCATGAACGAGTCGCCGCGAATGCGGGGCCGACCAGCCGTGAGGCAGCCGTTCAACCGAAGCTGGCGACGCCGACGGGTGACCTGGCCCGCGCACCAACTCGCAGATCGGATATCACATACGACGTACTCCGAGCCCGAGCCCGAGCCCGATCCCAATCCGGCACTGGGGCCGCCCGATCCGGAACTGCCCAACCTGGGGCTGCCCGACTTGGCGGAGAATCAGCTCGAGGCTCCACCACCGTCCCCCCCACCCCCCCCCACGCCCCCCCCCCCACGCCGCACCCGCTCGATCCCTTGATATAGACCACTACTACCACTGCCACTGCAGACCAACTTGGTCGCTTTCGCATCCACGCCGACGCCTCCCAGCCTAAACGTGGGCAGCGTATGGCTCCATCAACAAGCGCGAAATCTCCGCCGCCACACCGCACCGCCGCCCGACCTCTCCCACCAGCCCACGCCATGGTCCACCACCACACGTCAGACACAGGCTGACCAAGCCGTAGCAAAGTAGTCGGAGGGTGCGATCGGCGGCCACGTGCGATGGGCAGTCATGTGTGATGAGCAGCCACGTGCCATCGGCAGCCGTGCGAGAGGAGCCATCTCATTGATGGTTAATGTGCAACAAGATTGTGGTTGGCAGCAGCAGCACCACCTCACTCTGGCGCCGCAAATGGAGATGCTTAATGCCGCCATGAGCTATCCTTCGACATTTGAATGGATTCCTGGGACGACTCTTCTGTCTACACGGCCTGTTATGTTTGGTACTCTCATTGTGTACCTGCTTGTCATCTTTGGCTTGCAAGAGGTCATGGCGACAAAGACGACGCCCTCGTGGGTCAAGCCCGCCATTGTCGTCCACAACCTCATTCTCTTCCTCTACTCTGCCACCTCGGTCATCACTGTCCTCTACCTTGCTATCTCTTACTCTCTTGTATGTATCCTTTACTCATACCCCCTTCCCCCTTCCCCTTCCCCCCCCCTCCCCCTCGCTCCCTCCCCACCCCCCCCCCCCCCTCTCCCCCCCCTCCCTCTGCCCTCCTCCCTGCTTTGCCCTTCGGCTGTCAAATCGTTCGCTCTCCCTCCGCCTTTCCCCCGCTTTTTTGTCCGCCTCGCCGCAGCCACCTTCTCCGCCACCACTTCCTGCTACGAAGAGCATGTACTACTGCTAGTCATATGAGTGTCTTCTTTGTTGGGTGCTCTTTGTCATGGTGTGGTCCTGGTGACTGGGCTTGGTTTGGTCGGGAGTGTAGCTGAGGCGGAAGGTCCGTGTCGCTTGCCTGCTCCCCCGCGGGGGATCGTCGTTGGTTCGTCGCCCGACTGGGCGGCTTGGTGAGGAGACGGGCAAAGACAGACGATGGAAAGACTCACGTACATGGGGCGATGTGTGTTATGGGGAATGGGGGACGGACGGGGTGTATTATGGGGGGACGGACGGAACTGATGTGGGGAAACAGGAGGATGAGTATGGGTTTGTCTCTGTCTTCTGCGATCAGTACCGCAAGTACACCTCGGGCCCGATGTACTTCCTCATCTACACATTCTACCTCTCCAAGTACTACGAGCTGTTGGACACGGTGTTCCTGGCGCTCAAGAAGCGCCCGATCATCTTCCTGCATGTCTTCCATCACGTGCTGACCCTCTACACCTCGTTCTCGGGCATGGACTCTGAGACGACGTACCAATGGACGGCCGTGCTGACCAACACCACGATCCACTCGTTTATGTACTACTACTACCTCCGCGCCGCCATGGGCGCCAAGATCTGGTGGAAGAAGTACCTGACTGTGGCGCAGATGATCCAGTTTGGCATCAACGTCCTCATTCTCTTTGGCTGGGCTGCCATTGATCTCAACCTCCCCGAGGGCCAGGACTGTGCCGGCAACTACTTCTGCTGGTGGCTTATGTTTGGCGGCATGATTGCCTTCTTTACCCTCTTCAAGGCCTTCTTCAACAAGTCGTACAAGAAGCCCGCGGCCAAGTCGGAGTAAAACGCAACCACACCTGCACCCAGTTGCGGCCTGCGCCAACCCTCTCTCTCCCCCCCCCCTCACATCAGCCCATCCGCCAGAACCGATACATTGCACGATCACATAGCCGTCACTCCTCTCGCCTCCCATCGCCTCCCCTCGCCTCCCCTCGCCTCCCCTCACCCCAATAATCTTACCCCCCCTCTCCGTCCCATGAATCGCTCGTCCAGCAACCGTCGGTTCGAACGACCCCCTTCTCTTGGACCCACCGTCTCCACCAACCCCCCCCCCCCACCCCACCACCACCACCACCACCACAACCACGACCACTTCACACCAGCCCAGCTCAGCGCAACAGGCAAGACCATGGCACTCAGTGGCCCTGAACTGGCGATGTTCAACTCTGACACACCATTCGGACTGTTCTCTGAGAAGGAACTCCCGCAGGTGGTGAGTCTGGCAGACGAGTCACGCAAGGTGACCAAGCACCTCGCCGATCTCTTCAAGTCGCTCGCAAAGGCAGAGCTGGACTACTCTCGCAAAGTTCTGGACATTGTTGCTTCGAGCGAAGCTTCTTTTCCTTCCACAACTCCCTCGTCATCATCATCGACGTCATCATCGTCCTCTCATCGTCATCCGTCTTCATCATCGTCGTCATCATCATCGCATCATCCCTCGTCGTCTTCATCGTCATCATCATCTGCCATGAGAGAGGAGAACATGTCGCTCGCTGCTGCTATCAATGCCTTTCGGAGAGGAACCGCCGCTGTTGCTGCCCGTCAACATGGTCGCGCAGAGGCTGTCATGGCTGACATTGTCGCTCCGCTGGCTGCCTTTGTCTCGGCAAACGCCGCCAAGAAGGCTGCGTCAGCCGCAAAGAAGGCCATCGCTGCTCTCTCGCCGCTCCGTGACACAGTCGCCAAGGACGAGCGCAAGCTCGACAAGGTCCGCGCCGCCGCAGCCAAAGCACACGCGGGGTACAAGGCTGCCACAGAGCCAGACAAGCGGACCAAGCTCCTCGCCCAGGCGAGGAACCTTGATCGCGATGTCGCCCTCCGCGAGTCCGAGCTGGTCAAGGTTCACCGCGAGCTCGCCTCGCAGGAGATGGCATTTGCCTCGCGCGATCTCAAGCTTCACTTTGTCGCTCTCCAGGACATCCAGCTCGACCGCGACGAGCTCATCAAGCGCGCTCTCACCCACCACGTCGCCCTCGCTGACGCCATTGTGCCCTTTATCCAAGAGACAAACTGGAACATGCTGCAGGCTGTCGACGCATGCCAGCCCATGGCCGATCTCCGTGCCTTTGTCCTCCGCCACCACGTTCCGGCCGCGCTCAACCCGACCGCTCCCGCGGCTCTGCCCTCGCCCGCCTCGCCTGCACTCAAGGCCGCCAAGGCCCGCCCGCTTCCGCTCCCGACTACCGATGACTCTGACTCGCAGCCACAGCAGCAGCAGCAGCACTCGCAATCGCAGTTGCGCTCAGCTCCGGTCCCCATCCCGCGCGCCGCCCTCGATCCGTTTGGTGACCATCCGACTCCGCCAACCTCGTCGCCGTCGTCACCTGTTGCCGCCGCCGACGACGCTCCCATCTCCTCTCCCATCGCCTCGTCGCCCAGGCATGCCCGCTCTCCCCGCACGGCCCGCGACTCGGCCGACCTATTTGATGGCCTCGACGACGAGCCGACCGTCGCCCTTTCTACCGGCGGTGACCACTCGGACCCGCTGAGCGTATCGCCCCTGTCGTCGTTGCCGCTCCCGCTCCCGCCTCTCCCGCTCCCGCTCCCACTCCCGCTCCTGCCCCATCCCCCACCCCCTCACCCGCTCCCTCCCCTACTCCCTCTCCATCTCCACCTCCCGCCACTCCCGCCTCGCCGCCCAAGCGGCCCGCCCGTCACGTCCCACTCGCGACACCTCGGACCTCTTCGGTGGCCTCGATGACGAGCCGACCGTCGCCCTCTCCACCGGCGGCGACGCAAGCGGCCCGCCCGAGGCCACTGACCTCCTCTTTGGCACCCGCCTGCTGCAACCGTCGACGTCCCCACCGACGTGCTCGCTCGGTCATCACCCTCCCCTCCTCCTCCTTCGCCGCCGCCATCCTCCTCGCCGCCACCCTCCTCGCTCACACAGGCCATCCTCGACGAGCCTGAACCACAACCAGCCCCCTCCGCACGGCGCCGGCCTAACACAGCCGACCTGTTCGGCTCCGACTCGGACTCGCCCGACATCGCCCCACCCTCGTCTACTCCGGCCCCGGCTGCGTCCGCCAACACCCGCAACCTGTTCGCCGACTCGGACTCGGACGACGGCGTTGATGCTGCCACTGCCGCCGATATCTTTGGCTCGGCCGCCGCCGTCGCACCGCCGCCGCCGTCCCGCTCTGACGACGTCTTTGCACTCGTCGGCGACACCTCGACAGTCCCGACTGCCATTCCGGACACAGGTGATGCCGACGACGACTTTATGACCATGTTTGCCAGCGGCATCAGCTCGTCACCCCGGTCCGCCGCCCAAGCTGTCGCCACTTCCGCCGCTCCTGCCCTCGCCGGCTCGCCGGCCAAGGCCCGAGTCCTCGACGAGTTTGCAACAACCAAGAGCCGCTCGGCCGACGACGGGTCGGCCGACGCTCCGCCGGACGAGCTCTCGGTCCTCACCGCCATGCTCTCGGCCAAACCGGCCAAGTCTAAGCGGAGCCGGTCGTCCAAAACCGCGGCCGCATCGCGGACCCGGACCTCGTCCGGCTCGGCCCGTGCGGCTAGCTCTAGCGCCCGCGCCTCGGCACAGCCGCGCACAGGCGCAAGTGCCGCCGATGCGTCCGACGATGCCGCCCGCGCCCGCGCTCTCGCTGCCCTCGCCGAGCTCGCTGACGACAACGACTACTACAGCATGCTCGGCGTCGCGGCTTCAGTCTCAGACTCGGCGCTCGCTTCGGCGTTTAAGCGGCTGCAAACCGAGCTCGACCCGTCGCGCTTCGACACGCGCCGCGACCAGCGCCGCGCGTCATCACGCTTTCAGAAGATCAACGCAGCCTACGTCTCGGTCCTCCAGCACAAGAAGAAGCGCTCCGTCTACAACTCGATCGTCAAGCTCCGCGCCTCGTACACGTCGCTCGCTACGCCGGCGGCCTCGGCCTCCTCGGTCCGCAAGGCCCTCAAGTCGATGGCCAAGCTCCTCGACGAGCTCACTAAGCACAAGATGCCGACCACGCTCTCGACAGAGCTCTCCATGGCCGTCCGCCTCGTCCGCGACGCCCATCCGGACGCCAAAAAGTAGCCGCTCACCCAAACGTAAAGCCAAACGACGAGCCGGCCTCGGCGTTGCTCGCCGCAGCCGCCGTCACCCCGTTCCACCACGAACCGCCGCCGTTGCTCGCAGCCGCCGCAGCCGCAGCCGCCGTCGCAGCCGGCGACACGTCCTTGGGCATGGGGAAAAAGTGCTTCTTGCTCCATCCGCTCGCCTCCCGCTCCGCCCGGATCTTCTCCACAAGCCCAGGATGGTTGGCGTCGAGCGACGCCCGGAGCGCATCGTACAGCGACGTGTCAGCCTTGCGCGAGACAAAGTCGACAACCTCGGGCAAGTTTGACTGCGAGACGTAGTTCTGCGTCACCGCAATCGACTCTTCCAGGTTAAGCGCCGTGTGCCACCACTGCGCAGGGATGAACAGCACATCGCCGGGCTTCTGCACTGCGAGCACAGGCTGGACCGGCGCATCGGGCGACCGCGAGTCGGCGTAAAAGTTGAGGAACCACGAAGCAAGCGAGAGCGGAGCGGTCACGTCCCATCCATCGCCCGATGGAAAGACCCCAGGCGGGGTGTAGTGCGGCGGGAAGAGGACCCACTTCTTCTTCCCGCTCACAAGCCCGTTCCACGCAGACGTGTAGTTGGGGTCCTTGTGAAACGTCGAGCCCGACCGCGCCGGCCCGATGAGGAACCAGCGGAACCGCGGCCGCACGTCGGCCGCCAGCTCTGCGAAAAAGTCCTCACGCCCAAAGTACTCGGGCACTTCGTACTCGTCCACTAGCCCGGGCTCCTTCTCGCCAAACGCCTTGTCAAAGAGGTAGATCGGCACCTCCTCGCGCGTCGCTGCCGAGTACTGAAAGTACTCGCCGAGCGTGAGGTCCGCCAGCCCACAGGCAAACCGCGTCGCCCCGTGCCGCTCCACCAGCGCATCCTTAGACCACAGGCGCTCTGCCACTGCCGGCCAGTGCTCTATCGCGCCCTCGATCACCACAGGCACGTTCTCCCGGTCGTACCGCGCAACAAACTCCTCCACAGACACCTCGCTCGCCTTGATCCGTTCGATGGTCTCGTCCTCGTCAAACATGGCCAGATCGACGTTGGCCCCACCCAGCCCTGCGCAAGGTAGTCCGAGTACAGCCCGCGCCACGGCCCGGCCTTCAGCCCTCGCCCCGCCATCATCTCGGCCATGTACTCGGCGGAGATCTTCTCCGACGCGTGCATGGTCAGCCAGGTTGTCCGCCACGAGTCGACAAAGCCAAAGCCACAGAGTCCATCGTCCGCCAGCACCACCGCCCGCCAGATCTCTTCCTCATTGGCATACGTATACATAGCCCGAGAACACTGCGCCAGTTTGCCAACTGCCCACACTCCCAATCGCTTCAACAAATCGAGCAAATCGCTGTCGCTGAAAACCGCAAACGCGCCGAGGCCGCTCGCCCGAATGCTCGCCGCTGCTCCAGGCACAAGCGCATTGCCCTGCGGCACAACTCCACGCGGGTGCTCCGGAATCGCTGTCATCCTCCCTCTTCCTCGCCGTCTGCTCGTTAAAGACGAGTCTGTCGCCAGAGACTCTCACACAACCACGCTCCCGCCGCCCTTGGTCCTTGTCGCTCCTCGCTCCGTTTGACCTTGGCCTCGCTGGATGGGCTCAACTTGGTTGGTGGCTGGTGAGCCAATTGACGTCATTGACTTGGTGTTATGACAGTTTGCGAGTCCAACACGCTCTGTCACCACAGGCGATGACGTCGTACGCGCTGCTTCCACACCACATACGACAAATACTTTGCGGTTCTCCTATGCTATCATTTCTACAATGTATTGAGCTGTGGCTATGGCACATAGCTATGCCCCCGCACGCCAGAGCGCCTCGCCAGTCCTGCCCAAGTCCGCTTGACAAATTGACCCGGAGGTCAACCATGTCGACCAGAATGTCCCGGCAAACTTTTACTGCCTTTGTTCTTCCCGTATGCTGCCCTCCCTGACCATTCCAGCTGGCCGCTGCCCGCATTGCACACATCTCAAGCCTTGCAGCAACAGTTTTTAACCAATCTATGTTTTATTCGCAGAGTATACTCTCCACCATCTTGACCAGATCAAAAATTAGACAACGTGTGTTCTGACTGACAGCCCCACACCCCCAACCAACCAACGAACGATCGAGTGACCAGCAAAATGCCGCAACCTTCGGCGTCGACGATGGCCACACCCGCCACGGCCACGGCCTTGACCACCCCCCCCCCCCCCCCCACCCCCCACCCACCACCACCACCCACCACAGCCACCTCACTCACTCACACCTCCGCGGGCTACCCAGAGGTATGAGCAGAGACGCGGAGGCGGCTGCGTCGAACGAGGTAGGCCAGGCTGAGGGCCATGGCAGCTCGCGAGCGGACGAGTTACTTGCTGGCGGCGAAGGCGACGGTGAGGAGGGAAGAGGAGGGGAAGGGGAAGGAGGGGACGGGTGTGGGGACGGGCACCAGGGCGTTGATGACCAGCATAACGCAGTACATGGGCAAGAGCAAAAGGTTGAAAGAAAAAGCAACAAGACACCGCCTGTCACTTCGGCAGTCGATGAATACGTAGCGTACGGCGCTGGAGAGGTCACGCCCGGAGTCTTGGATGGAGTCCATGGAGGAGCCGTCCTCTTTGCCTCGTTTGTGCCTGGGACAGAGAACAAAGTCGTCGTGACAGGCGGGGAGGATGGCATGTGCAAGGTCTGGAGAATCGATGCTAATCCGGGAACCGGAGATGAACCGCTCCCGCCGCCGCTCGTTGTCCTCGAACACAAGGAGGCCATCTCGTCCATGGTCGTCACCAGCAACTGTGTCTTTGCTGGCGGAGAAGGTGGTTCGGTTTTCCAGTGGTGGCTCGGCAACGGTGAGACGCAGCACATCTTTGAAGGTCATCGTGCACAGGTCCACGACATGCTCCTTGTTGACGATGCCAAGGCCCTCTCCTCCTATCCCTCGGTTGTGGTCTCCGACTCCCCAGTCCCGGCGCCCAACTGGCTCAACACCTCGGCAACTGCCCGCACGCCCACAGTCCTTGTCTCGGCTGGCTTTGACGACAAGATCCGGGTGTGGGACGTGCTCCGCGGAACGTGCCGAGTCACCTACCGTAGACACACGTCGCGCATCGCTGCCCTCGCCCGCCACCGTGACCTCCTCTTCTCGGCCTCGTGGGACATGACCGTCATGGCTTTTTCGCTCTCCGCCCGCCAGCGCGATCCGCCGCCGCGCTTCATCTGCCGCGGCCACACAGACTCGGTCAAGACCCTTGCCCTCACTGCCGACGCCTCGTTGTTGGTCACCGGCTCGCGCGACCACACCCTGCGCCTGTGGGACGTTGCTGCCCTCGTCGCAGACGCCGCAGAGGCGATGGGTGACGTCCTCGGCTCCGGCTCGTCATCCGCTCTCAACCTCTCCGCCGCAGACTCGTCGTCCCACATGGCTGCCGCCCTCGCAGACGCGCGCTCCGCTGCAAATCGCCTCGCAGGCTCCGCCCCATCCGCCTCCCCCGCTGGCGTTGCTGCCACCATCGCCACCGACTCGGAGTCGCGCCGCCGCCGCAAGAAGCGCCGGAAGAAGCACAGTTCGCGTCGCTCACGCTCCGTGCCCGACCCGGTCGTCGTGGAAGACCTCGCCGTCCTCGCCGGTCACGAGGCCGAGGTCATCTCGGTCGCCTGGGAAGTGCCGCGTACTCGCGGCGCACGGCAAGACATCATCATCTCGCTTGCCCTCCATCCCACCATCCGCGTCTGGTCCGCCTCCTCGCACTCCTGCCTCCACACCCTCGTCGGCCACATGCACTTTCCGCTCTCGCTCGTCGTCCACCCCTACCTCCTCTTCACAGGCTCGGCTGACACCGCCGTCGGCATCTGGGACTACCACTCGGGCGAGAACCTGCGCATGATGCCTGGCCACGAAGCCTCGGTCCGCGCCCTCCTCGTCTCGGGCAAGCGCCTCATCTCTGCCTCGCGCGACGCCTCGCTCATCGTCTGGGACTTTGAGTCGCCCGCAGACGACGACATTGATGTCGACATGATTGCTCTCCGCATCGCCTCTTACGACGACGAGAGCTAGCGTAAAGCAAACGCTTCTTTATCCTGCCTCACACGGGGCGAAAGTCGCAAACAGTCTAATGCAGCTGGCCCTGGTGCTCGTGCCCGTGCTGGTCTTGCCACACCTTGCATCCGACACGCACCGCGTCAAAGACAAACCGCAGATTGCGAGCCGAGTGGGACCAGAGCACAAGCGGCTCGCTAGAGGCCCCGGCCTCGGCCACCACCACGCCCCACGAGCCGAGCGCCACGCGCCGCACCCGCTTGAACGGCACCTGGCGAACAATCTTGCGGTTGAGCTTCTCCACCGCACCCACCGTCGCGTCCGCCTCTTCCGTCAGCGATCCGCTCTCGCCCGCGTCCGCGCCTTCGGCCCGCAGCAACAAGATCCGGTTGTTGGTCACAATGACCATGAGCGAGCCATCGGCCACCAGCGCCTCGGCGAGCACCGCATCGCTCGCCGCAAACGCGCCCGACCTGAGCGTGTACAGCAGGAGCTGCGCGTGTGCGAGGTGCCACGAGTACGCGTGCACCCGCCCGTCGAGCCAAAAGTGCCGCGGCGGCCGGAGACGCGTAAAGTGCACCTCAATGTCCACAGAGTTACGCACGCCCTCGAGCGTCTTGGTCAGCAAGTTGAGGACGCCGACCACGGGCTTGACTCCGAGCCCGACCACGCCGCGGCCCATGCCCTTGACAAAGCCCTTGACTCCACCACGCTTCGCGCCCTTTGCAGGCTGCAGCACAAGGCCTGACACGCCCCAGAATAGACCCTTGCCAAACGCGGACGCGCCCAGAATCAGCCCGCGCCCGGCGTTGTTTGCCCGCCGCCGCCGCAGCGCCTCCTGCTTTCGCAGATACTCGTCGTCAAACGAGAGCTTAGCCACAGCCTTGCCCATCGACGATGTGATGGCAGAAGTGGCGTCGAACATGGCATACGCTACGTGTTTGGTCAGCGAGACCGCGGACTTGCCCACTCCACGCGAGAACTCCCGCGGGCCAAGGAGCACCGACTCGGCAGACGCGTGGAACGACTCGTGGAAACCGTGCGTGATGTTCGACCAGAGCTTCACAGGGTTGCCCAGCATGTCCAGCGAGCCCACAATCTTGAGCACCTGCCGCATGAGCCCCCGCTCGTAGTGCTTGGCCACAAGCGCTTGCAGCGACGCCTGCGTCGTGAACAAGTGCTCCAACAGCATGTGCTTGAACACAATCGGCGCAGAGTCAAACGATGGGAGGAGCAGCCCGAGGTTGAGCACCTTGGACAGAATCGAGTCGCTCTTGTCAAGCGCAGACTCGAACGAGACCTTGAGCGAGATCGGCGAGATGGCGAGAACCCGAAAGTACACTTCGCGCACCCATCCGGCTGCCTCGTCGTAAGACGGCTCCTGCGAGGAAACCGCTAGCGAGTCCTCAAGTGACGCCGCCAGCGATGCCTTGGCCGACGGCAGTCCCTCTGCCATCGACATCAGCCGCACCACAAGCCCTTCCTCCACACGGACCGTGAGGGCCTGGATCGCCACAACCGTCGGTCCGAACAACTGCACCCGCTCCGATGCTATCGCCTTGTTGTACACAATCTGCAGAAACGGAATGCCCTTGCGGAGCGGCCCCTCGTCCATGTTGACCACAACAGGAAAGACCGAGTCCTCGTCCTGGTTGTCCACCTGCAGTCGCTCCACAGTGATGTGTCCTGTTTGGATGGCTCGCTCGTCGGTCTCGAGCAACACTTCGGCGCCCACCATCCATGCATACAGCAGCTCCTCCGGTGTAGGGTCGATGACCGAAATGCCCAGTCCAGGCACATGGACCTTGATCCGCGAGATGATGGCCGACGACTTTTGCGCTTCCATCATCGTCACCCCGTCGTCGTCGGACCTGCTCTTGGACGCGTGCTTCGGGTCGTACACTCTCAGTACGTGTGTGTGCGAGCCCTTCTCAATGTACACCCTCACCTCGAGCTGGACAACCTCGCCGAGTTCTTCGGAAAAGAACGAGACCGTCTCCGGCACTGCCTTGGTCTCGTCGATCTCGACCTTGAGGCCAATCGGCTTGTCGCCCGCCGCCTGGAACTGGACAAACAGCTTCTTCTTGTCCGCATGCGGTGCGTCCCATCCGTACGCCGTGCTCGTCCACGGCTCCAGCTTGGCCACCACAGCCTGCTCCACATCACACTGCCAGTAGTAGATCGGATGAACCGTGTCGTTGACAAGCTTGTACCGCGGCGCAGTCTGCGCCGCCTGTGGCCGCGACACCACCACATACACCACCGGATCGTCCACAGAAATCTGCAGCCGGACCCGGTCCGCCACGCTCAGTACTTCAGAATGGCTCGCGTACACGTTGAGGTCAACCACACCAAAGCCGTCAACGGCAAACGCAGACGACCAGTTGGCGTACTGTTCCTCCGCACGCGCACGCGCCTCGCCCTCGCCCTGTACCAGCGGAAGGCCCACCGCAGGCGGCGCCTCGCCGATCCGCGACCGCCCTGTCAGCGCCGTCCCGCACTCGCTCAGCGCCTCGAGTCGGCCTTGTCCGACGACATCACTTCCTGCTGCTCGTCGCCATCGTCAGAGTCAAACCACTCTGACGAGTCGTCACTGCACGGCAGCTGCCTGCCCATGTCAAACGTGACCGACCGCTCGCGCCCGAGGAGCCCAAACTTGCTCTCGTCTGGGAAAGGCGACTCTGCAGCCTGGACCGCGACCAGCCGTTCCTCGGCAGTCGGCCGTGGTGCGAGCAACTCGGCCGGCACACAGTCGGCGTCAAAGAACCCGAGCTGGAGCTTGTCGGCGCCGCCGGCCGTCACAAAGTGGACTTGATGGTGCTCTCCGCCCTCCAGCCGGTGCGAGACTTCGGTCCCCACCTGCCGCCACAGCAGCGGCTCGTCGAGCCGGTTGACCAACACATACCGCGGTTCGATGACCACGACTGAAGTCCGCCCAAATGCCCCACTTGCCTTGTGGATCTTGATCCCAAGCTGCCACTCGCGCACGAGGTCCAGCTCGGCGAGCGCGGTCCGGTCGAGCACCTTAATCGCTCCGCTGTCGGCAATGTTGGCGAGCGAGACGCCGTTCGACCACTCGGAGGTGTGGACCTTGATCGTCGCCTTGGACCGTGAGAGCTTTCGCTTCTCTGCGTACGAGAACAGGTACGGCGCCGCCACGGCAGAACCGTGGCCCTCGCCAGCATGAGTCCCCATCGTCGCGTGCGGTGCGTACTTGAGCGGAAGCCCGGTCCGGTTGACCATCCAGAACCGCGAGTAAATCTCAAGCGAGCCCACGCCCGAGCCGGACGTCGAGCCAAAGGCGTAGAGGTTGAGCGGGCCGGTTCCTTGCCCGGCTTCGCCCGGCAGCTCCAGCACCGCGCCAAGCTCGCCCATCTCGGTGGCCAGCGACGCCTCACTCCGTTCGCTGCTGCCGTAGCCCGGCACAGCCACCGCAAGATCCATCTCACCATCGGGCCGTGCCCCGTACACAGGGACTCGTCCGCCCGGAATGACGTTGCTCGCAAGCACTTCTTCGCCATCGCACCACACAGTGACGTGTGCAGAGTACGGAAGTAGATTTGTGACGTAGACTGGCGAAAGAAGCCGGACACGGACCGCTGGTAGCGGATGAATCGCCACAGACCCGTTGTGGTCGCGCACAGCCTCGATGTCCTTGGCCAGCACCGCATACGCATGTCCGATCCGCGACAGTGCCTCCAGCCGGTCGCGCGGATCGTCGCGCACCGTCCGCTTCCAGTCGTCGCCAGCCTCGGACGGGACGACGCCGTGGGTCGCGTCGCGGACGTCAACCTCGTTGAGCGTCGCGTCGTCAGGGAACGCGTACAGCAGCGCGTTGCGATCGGACGCATGGTCCACCTGCAACCGCCGGTCGCCGCTCTTGCGCCCGGCGGCAAAGCTCAGCAGTAGCGAGTCGGTTCCACGCAGCCGCTGTCCGCGCCCCTCGCGTGCCAACCCTGCCAATGTCGCCGTGTCCTCGTTGGCCATTTCGGTAGCGTTGCGGTCGCCAGTCTCGGCCTTGGCCTTGGCCTTAGCCTTGGCCATCTTCCGCTTCGACTTGCTCTGGCCTCGCCGCAGAGGCAGGACGCCGCTTGTAGCACTCGCGGACGCCGCCCCAAACGCCACTCCCACTCCGGCGGACCACTGGAAGCCAATGCCGTCGATGGCAAGCGCCTGGCCGACCGGCCGGGTCTCAAACGCCCACGCCGGCGTCGGAACTAGCCACAGCGGCAGCGCTGTCCACCCGTTCGGCTGCACCGCTTCGGACGCAAAGGCAACGGCGCCGTTGTTCAGCCCGCGGAACTGGATCGGGAGCTCGGTCTCGTTGACAACCAGGAACCGCGAGGAGAGGACCAGTAGGTGCGAGCCGTCACCCATCGACTTGAGCTGTCCGCGGAGCGCAACCTCGTGCTCACGCCCGTCATGCTCCAGCACAGCGTCCAGGATCCATGTCCCGGCCGAGTCCAGCGAGATTGGGCTGAGCTTCGGCGCGCTCGGCGAGCCGAGCGCAACAACTAGCGTGTGCGTCTCATCAACCGACCGCTTGAGGTACCGCGGGTCGCGAGTCTGTGGGAACTCGAGCGACGCGAGCTTGCCGGCCTCCAGCACCATCGGCTCGCCTTCGACAACAGTCTCGCCGGCAGACGTCGGCCAGCAGGTGACCGCCACGTCGGTGGCGTTGAGGATCCGGAACGGCGCCCAGTCCGGGTCGCTTGCCACTTGCTTCTCCGGCTCGGAGAGCGCAGCCATGACACCTTGCAGCCGCTCCACGTTGGCCAGCAGCTCAAGCGTGACGTTGAGGTTGAGGACAGAGGTCGGCTTGCGCGACGTCGAGAGCTGCTCACGCATGACAGACTCTTCCTGCGCCACGTCGTTGTCGAGCACAATCGAGCCGAGCACCAGCCCCTCGCTCAGCAACACGCCCTCGGCCTCGTCGTCGGCAGACTCGGACTCGAGCCGCAGCGAGTCGGATGAGACAGAGACAGAGCCCATCGACGAGGTCGAGCATGTATACACCGAGAGCTCGTCCTCTTCCACCACTGCTCCAGGCGCCGCATGGCCCTCGTACTGCTCCGACAGCGAGTAGCTCGCTGACGACGACAAGAGCTCCACAATCCGTGGCGTTGCGTGCGCATGCTGTTCCGAGCACGACGAAGACCAGCCAGACGACGCAACCGCGGGTCGCGCGGGCGGTGTCGCGGGGGTGACACTTCCAACCGGCCCATCCACCGTCCGACGCCGCTTGCGCCGGCGGCGCACCTTGCGCCTCGAGCCTCGTTCTGGCGCCAGGCTGACAGCCGAGCCGCCAGCCGAAGCGAGCGACGATCGCGACGGCGACTTGAACGTCTCGCCCGAGGCGGCTTTGTGCATTCGGCGCCGGTGGCGGTGGCGCCGGTGGTGCGGCCTCGTAGATGCGGGGTGTGACGGAGTAGCTGGATCATCACCATCGGGCTCGTGCCGCGGCACCACCTCGCCAGCAAACGGGTGGGTGTCGTGGATAGCCATGGGTTGGCCAAAGAGTGGCGGCTGAACCATCCGGCGCTGGCCGGAAGGCACCACGGTCTCCACCCGTGACTTGCGCTTCGAGCGGCGTGCGCGGGCCTGTGCGTTGGCCTTTTTGGCCGCCTTGTGGCGGCGAGCACGGTCCTTGCGCCGGCGGATGGCCTCGGCGTGGCGGGCGGCGCGCTCGCGGACACGCCTCTCGCGAGCCTCGCGGGCCTCGCGCTCGCGCCGATCGGCAGGTGTCTCTGTCGAGACGTCGTAAGCGGCAAAGCCTGCGCACTTGTTCTCAAACGCGTTAAACTCGTAGCCGATCGAGGCGTAGGCCGGCTCGAGGAGCGGCTCCCACGCCGCAAGCTTGTGGTTGTAGTTGCCGAGTGAGAGGTGGACGGCAACCTTGGCCGAGGCCCGGGTGGCAAACACGTCCGAGTACCGGACCGAGGCCGAGTCGAGCCGTAGCTCAAGCAGCGGGACCGCGCCGCGCTTGGCAACGTCAAAGAGAGTGGCCCGGAGGTCAATTAGGTCAACGAGGTAGTAGGAAATGTGCCTTGTCTCGCTCTCCTTGAGCTTGGCATACTTGGCGTCGCCTTCATCGACCTCGGCTTCGGTCTCGGACGTTCGCACTGAGTCTGGCGGCCCGCGCGGCGAGCCAATCGGCAGCGAGTCCGACTGCGCTGCGCTTGGCCCTGACGCAGCCGCGCCGTCGTCCCCGGCGTCAGCCAGCGACGCGCCAGGCTCGACGAGCGCGCTCCGCGCAAAGTTCTCGAGGTCCGAGGTTGACGACGACGATGATGACGACGCCGACGAGAAGGACGATGAGGCCGAGAACGTCTCGGGATCGGTGACGGTGACGGTCGGCACTGGCGCGGCACGCGAGGCCTGAACCAACGTCAGGTCACGTTCCTTGTCGCCGGCCTTGAGCGCGGCGACGGCGGCCGGTGCCGCAGTGGCCAGCGCCTCGTCAGCGCTCGACGGCGCCGGCTGCTGCGGACCGCTCAAGCCGGCGACAATGCCCTGGACAAGGACAATGTCTGGATAGGCGAGGCGGAGCGCCGGCCGGTCGAGCGAGACGGCGACCCGGGAGTCGGTGATGGGCAGGTGAGTCGGTGAGGCCGAGTACTTGACAAGCAGGTCGGTGGGGAGGAAGATGGCAACGGCATGCTGGGTCGGGCCCGACATGCGGGTGACAAAGGCCTCCAGGCCCGAGAGGGTGACGGCGACAGCGGTGGCCCATGCCCGGTCGACGGTGTACGACAGGTGCGTGTTGGCGAGGAGAAGGCCAAGCGCTGGTGACGCAGCGTCGGTTTCATGGCGAACAAGGTAGATGTTGAGATCGGAGAGAATGGCGGCAACCGTAAAGGACGGCGACTTGCGGATGGCGTCGTTGGTGGTGGGCGGCGGGATGGCCGGCGGCGGCGGCGGAGGGGACTCGCCGTATGGCACGTCGGGCGCCGAGGCCCAAGCGCCGACAAAGGTGAGGGCGGCGACGGCGGCCGGGGTGATGTGCATGTCCGTGGCGTCGAGGGTGACGGTGGCGTGGGCGTCCCACGAGACGTCGACGAGGTAGTCGATGTCGAGGTGCCAGCGGCTTGGGTCGTCGATGACAGCTGCAGCCGGGCTGAGGATGGAGGAGAACTGCGAGAGGTCGGGGCTGGCTCTCCGGTTGACCCCATGGTTGACCAGGTCGAGGCGGCGGGCTGTGATCTTGTACGCCGTGTTGTACTCGTTGGTCACGGCCATGGCGAGGTTAAAGGACGAGAGGGCGAGGCCGACGTTGCCGGCGTCGGCGCCGGTCTTGCCGTCAAAGCCGTAGCCCGGAAGGAGGCGGAGGGCAAAGTTGTCCGAGACGACCGAGATCACGGTCGTGGTCCACTCGTCGTCGTCGACGGGCGACCAGTCGACCCGCGGCTCGACACGCCCAGTCCTTGTCTCACCGCCAAACTGGGCGAGGATGGTGGTGACCATGGCGTAGTAGGCCTGCGGGAGGACGAGCTCGAGCGAGGGTAGGACAACGCCCATCCGCATGTACGGCTCGTAGTGGCACTGAAAGTGGTTGATCATGTCGAGATTGATGTGGAGGGCAAAGGCTTCGGCCGGCACGTACCGCTGCTCAGAGTCGCGGAAGGTAAAGGTGGTGGCTGGCAGATCGATGTCATAGTGGGTGGCAAGCGCGCCGGGTGGCGGGGCAGCGACAACCGAAAAGTCAGTCGAGTAGAGGTCGATGGCCCGCGACGAGTTGTCGTCGGCGTGGAGCTCGAGCTTGAGTGAGAGGGCGCGGACCGCCATGTAGCCCTTGTTGGCAAAGCCTGCCCGGGCGTCAGCGGCGAGGATCGGCTCCATCTCCTCGCGGGAGGCCGCGTACGGCGCCACATACTCTTCTTCAAAGGCGATGGCCGAGAGGCAGAACATGAGCTCGCGGTACTTTGTGCCCGGCAAGTGGCCGACGACGTGCGGGAGCGCAACGTCGAGTCGCGAGCCGTACCGCATGGTCAGCTGTGGGAGCAGGAGCGAGGCCGAGGTGACTGAGAGCTCAAACGGATCGATGATGCGGAAGGCCGAGGTCGCGGTCTCCGCGTCTTTGGACGCGTAGTCGATGAGGTAGACAGAAAGCGAGGCAATGCGAATGTCTGTCGGTGAGTACACGACGCTGTCCGGGAGCTCGGCGAGTGAGGCCGGTGGCTCCAGGTGTGGCAGTCCGCGGTGGATGGCGATGTTGAGGCTCTCGATGTCAAAGACCATGCGGAGACCGTGCTTGACCGTGGCGACATGCGGGAGAATGACCGAGATGCCGTCGAGGGTGACGTCGACATCGAGGTCGGTCATCTCGTTGAGCGCGTCGACAGCCAGCTGGGGAGTGAGCGGCAGCTCGCGAGCAAAGCCCGGTGGGAGGAGCGATGATGGAAGAGTCTCGTCCGGCCCAGCTGTGGCCTTGAGAACTGCCGAGACCTTGTCGAGGAGCACCTTGTTGTAGACAAACGAGAGCGGGCGGAGCGCGCCAGAGATGGATGTTCCTGCCCGAGCGTCGTCGACGGCTGGGCGTGAGACGATGGTGAGCGCAAGGACCGGGGCGACGGTGGAGGAGCGCGCGGCGGCAGCGAGGGCGGCGGCGGCAGGTGCGCGCTCGACGGCGTACGAGGCAACCACGCCTAGCGACGATGCGTGGGCCATGCCTGCTGTTGCTGTGGCTTGCTCCTCGGGTGTGAGCGGGTGTGCGCCCGGAACAAGGGCCGGCTCCGAAAGGTTAGTGTCGCGCCGGCGAGGCGCAGAAGGCGTTGCGTCGGCAACATCGTCCGGCGTGCGGAGGTCAAAGGCCTCGGCCAGCAGCTGGGCGTGGGTCATGTGCTTGGGCATGTGCGACTCGGTGAGAATGTTGACGTACGAGCCAGTTGGGTCGTACAAATCGCGGAGGTGGAGTGAGCCAAGACGGACCGCGGTCTTGGTCGGGGCATAGCCGACCGAGAGACTCGAGAGGGTGAGGAGGACAAGGTCGGACATGTGCAGCTGCGAGCGGATGCGAAGGGTGAGGCAGCTGACGGTGACAGTTGCAAGCTCGGAAGCTGGAGGCAGCGGCGGCGATGGCGGGCTGGGCGAGGTCGGCTTGCCGAGCACGAGGTAGAGGAGGCCGACGACAACGGTCTGCACCATCCGGGAGAGCGCCGACGGCGGCGACGGCGGAGGCGGTGGCGGAGGCGGTGGAGCGGCGGCGGCGACGATGCGGGCGAGCGACGTGATGCGGGCGGCGAGTGAAGGAGTCGGCATGCCGGACTTGGAGAGATACCGCCTGCCGTACGGGGTGGCTACCAGCGATGCGAGCGCCGGCGAGTAGCCGTCGGCAGTAGAGTCGGTGGCCAAGACGAAGTCAGGCGGTGGGCCGTCGCCGCGGCAGTAGGCCCGGGTTCGGGCCTCGTAGATGGCACCTGCGGTGGCCGAGAGCTTGCGCAGCTCGTCGAGCTCGCCGGCGACCGCGAGAGCGGCGGCAGTGGCCGCGAGCGGCGGCTGTTCGCCGAGCATTTGCGTCCGTGCCGCGCGGATGTCGGAGAGAACGGCCATGGCGGCGTAGCGGAACCACTCAAGAGGCTGCTGTGACGGCGGGCTGGAAGGTCGGAAGGCGCGCCAGCGGATGAGAGCGGCGCGGCGGGAAAAGAGGTTGCTGAGCGAGCCGAGAGCGGCGACCTGGGCCGATGATATGGTGATCGGCACGGCTGGAACGCTCACCGAGACGGTGGGACGGTGAGCACCAGCCGGGCCAGGCACTGTGACGCAAATTGAAGCGTCGATGTTGTACACGATGGGCTGGGAGGAGATCTCAGCTGCGTCGTCGTCTGCGGCAGCAGCAAAGAAAGCCACGGCATCCTTGAGCTTTGCATTTGCGATGCGAGTCTTGGGCTCAGGCTCAAGATACAGAGTGAGCGCACGAAGAACAACCAACTTTGTCAGCGGAGAGAGCTGAGAAAGAACAGCAGCCTTGAGGGCCAACTCCTCCAGCTCGAGACCCATGACGGTCTTGTCCGTCTCGAGGCGAAGATGAACGTTGCCAACGGAGAGACGTGCATGCAGGAGGAGAGACATAGCCAGAGAGGTAAAGTAGGTAGAGATCGGAGACGATGGCGATGTGGTAGAGGAGGTAGTCGTGGCGGTGGTGGCGGTGGCGGCGGTGGCGGCGGCGGTGGCTGCGGTGGCTGCGGTGGTGGGCGGAGGTGCCTCTGCGAGGACGAGATGCAAGCCCCAAAGAGAAAGGGAGCAGTTTGCGGAAGCAATGTTCCACCAAGGGAAGGAGAGTTCCAAAGAATGAATATGACCATGATGTATGGTCATGGGTAGAGATGAAGGAAGTAGTCCATGGCCGTTGCCTGGTTGGAGGACAAGGTCGGTGATGGCCACCCGGCCATGCCAGAGAGAGACTTGTACTCTGCCTACAGAAGCAATAATGGATGAGAGTACATGCGTAAGCACCCAATGCAGACATGCTGACAGTACTTCCATCCTTCGAACCACCTTGGCCCGTGTGGCGTCGTGTGTGAGTAATGATAGCCCCCCCGGGTCGTCCGCCTAGAGGACGTTGGGGGTGGGGGGAGGGGAGGAGAGGGGATCGTGATCGTGATCGATCGCAATGTTTTTGTTGCGCGCGCGCACGTGGGGGAGGATATTTTTGTAGAGGTGATGGGGGGGGGGGCAGGGGGGGAGGGGGGGGATGGCGGAGGAGAGGGGAGGGAGGAGGAGGATGGGGGGGGGGGGGTGAGGACCGGGAGGGAAGGGGGGGAGGAAGAGAGAGAGAGGGGGGAGGGTGAGGGGATGAGATCGATAGGAGTGTGGGTTGGGGTTGAGAGAGCAGAGGCATATCGGCAAGGAGGGTCGAGGTTGTGAGGTGTATCCATGACAGAAGAGAGTGTGGATGGTTGGCGGGGGCTCGGCATAGGTAAGATGAGCAGGACTATGAAAGGCATGGTGCGATGGTCCGGCCAAGGTGTGGTAAGGTGCAAACTGTGGGTCGCCCCAACAACTCGCGCCAAACGAGTTTGGCGCGAGCAAAGCGCCGCAGAAGAGGCGTCAAGGTGAGCCAGAAAGTGGACAGCTCGACAGCGTACAAGTAAAAGCAGCGTAGATTGTGGCGCAAAGGAGAGGCTCTTTATCCCGGCCAACGTTGAGCTGCATCACTTACCGCTCACCCCCATCGCCACCCGCCAACCCAAAAAAAACGAATACCGGCCGCAGACAAAAACGCCTGGCCTGACCCGGCCAAACTCCGCAGATCCGGGTGGTGGAGAGGCCACGGCAGCAGACAAGTAAAACAGTCACACAGAATGCACATAGTATGTTTGACAATGGGAAGGAGAAGCACATCGTCCCGTCCAGTGCTGAGCTGAGCTACCCACCCGCAGGCTCTCCCCTGGTTGCCAACACACCAAAAAAAAAACGCAATCCATCCGTTGCCCCCCGCCCCCCCCCCTCCTCACCAAAACCAGCCAAACTCCACAGAACCGAGTGGCAAACAGCGTCAGGCGGGACAGGGCCAGTCGAGCACGTTGCAACACCTCACACACCCACGAGGAGAGAACACACAGGGAAAGTACACACCACGTAGAACGCTGTACTACCTCTCACCCGTTCGCATACTAGTCGTTGTAGTTGTCATTGTCTGCGTCTCTCTGTCTGCAATCCCTTCTCCTCCCTCCCCCCCCCTCCCTACCTCCCCCGTCCCTAGACTCTGTCGCTTGTTCATTGCGGCTGTCAGTCACTCTCCCTCGGCAAAGCCATCGCTCTCGCTCGCTCGCTCGCTCTCTCTCTCTCTCTCTCTCTCAATTGCTCTCTCAATCTCTGTCATTCTCTGTCATTTTGTGTGATTAATCGTATATTACTTCATTGTCATCATCGTTGTCTCTCTGATCTTCTTCTCTCAAACTGGTTCTGCTCGTTGCTCCTTCTTCTGTTCTGTGGTGCTCTTTGGTCTGCTTGCTCACCTCGGGACGCAACTTGCTCTGTCTCTGGTATTGTGATAATTTGTTGAGTGTAATTGTCAAGTGACCGCTCAACTGGTACTCATTGATTGATCGTATTGTTGTACCTAGATTAATCGTACCGTACCACCGAACAATCGTATCGTATCGTACCATCGAGCAATCGTACTGCACCACCAAACAACGCGCCCGAACAATCGTACATATAGTTTGTTCGCATCGTCGTTCATACTCTTCATTTTGTGCTGTAAGGCGCAGCGGTTGATCGAGACGAACTCTTCGGCCATTCATCATGTCGTCAAGTGGAGCCAAGATAACGGTGGCACTGCGGATGCGGCCGTTCTCGTCGCGTGAGGCAGACGAGGGCGCCGAGCAGGTGGTCCACATGACTGGCGCACCAAGCGTCAACTCGCCACAGCACACAACATGCACGCTGACGGATCCCGATTCGGGCGATATTCGCAAGTATGTGTTTGATGCGTGTTTTGACTCAACCAACCCGGCTGGGAGCCATAATGCCGGGCAGCAGGATGTGTATGTCGTGCTGGGTGCGCCGCTGGTACTTGCGGCGCTGTCGGGCGTCAACGGGTGCCTGTTTGCGTACGGACAGACCGGCGCCGGCAAGACGTACTCGATGATGGGCGTCGAGTCTGCACCCGGTGTGGTGCCGCTGCTGCTCGACGCGCTGTTTGCAGCGCTGGACCGCAACGCCAATCCCGTTGTTGTCGCCTCGTACTTGGAAATCTACAACGAGGAGCTGATGGATCTGCTGCAGCCGCGGTCGGGTGGGCCGCTTGCGGTGCGCGAGCATCCTGCGCGCGGGGTGTTTGTGCAGGGCCTGGCGCGAGTCGGGGTGACGAGCGCGGCTGACGCGGGCCGGCTGCTGAGCGAGGGCTCCAAGATGCGATCGGTGGCTGCAACGGCGATGAACGCGTCGTCGTCGCGGTCGCACGCGGTGTTTATGCTCGACGTCTCTGTCGATCACCCGGCGTCGGGCCAGCGGGTCAACGCCAAGCTAAATCTCGTCGATCTGGCCGGCTCGGAGCGACAAGCCAAGACCGGGACCACGGGCGCGCGGTTCAAGGAAGCGGTCGCCATCAACTCGTCGCTCTCTGCGCTGGGCAACGTTATTTCGGCCCTCTCCAAGGCAGCGGCCAAGGGCAGCAAGCCGAAGCACGTGGCATACCGCAACTCGGTCCTCACCCGCCTCTTGCAGCAGTCGCTGGGCGGCAATTCGCGGACGGCCATGCTTGCCGCCGTCTCGCCGGCCCACACCAACTTTGAGGAGACGCTCTCGACCATGCGGTTCGCCAAGCGCGTCCGCGCCATCTCCACCAAGCCAGTGGTCAACGCCGTCGACACTGGAGCCACGGTTGCGGAGCTGCAGGCCGAGATTGCTCGGTTGAAGGCGTTGCTGGCCGGCGGCGGCGGCGATGGTGGCGGCGGCAACGACGACAGTGGCGGCGGCGACGACGACGCAGCGGCGCAGCTGGCGGCCGCTGAATCCATCATTGCCGAGCTGACTGCGGACGTGGCGACCCGCGAGGCGCAAGCAGCGGCACTGGCGGCGGAGCGCAAGGCCGTCCTCGACGACGCCGGCATCTCTGTGGTCGAGCTCGGCCAGCTGAGCGGCGCCGGCAACGCGTCGATGCTAGTCAACATGGCGGCCGACGCGGCCGACTCGGCCAATCTGGTGTGGGTCCTGGACCCTGCGCGCGGGCCCGAGTTTACGCTCGGGCACGCGCACGGGTGCTCGCTGGTGGTGCATGGGCCGGCGATGCAGGCAGCACATGCGCGGCTGGTGGTGAGCGGCGAGGGCGTGACGCTCGAGCCGCTGCACGCCTCAGCGCGGACATTTGTCAACGGCCTGGCCGTGCCGCCGAACGAGCCGCGTGTGCTCGAGCATGGGGCGCGGATATTCCTCGGAACCAACACGCTGCTGCGGTTTGTGGACGGCGAAGCTGGACCAGCCTCGCTCCCGCCGCTAGACTGGAAGGTGGCGCTGGAGGAGGTGGCGATGGCATCGGGCCTTGCTGTCCCTCGCGCGTCGGCCGGCTCAAAATGCCCGCCGCTCACCGCAGTCGGCAAGGTGGCGCTTGTTGTCGAGCTCCACGCGGTCCGCGGCCTGCCGAAAGCCGACGTCGTGAGCCGGTCGGCCGACCCGTATGCGGTGCTTACGCTCGAGCCGGGCGGCCTCCGGTCGCAGACCGAGACGCTTGTGCGGACGCGCGATCCCGAGTTCAACCACTCGGTCTGCTGGCCGGGCCCATTTGTCGATGGCGAGACTGTGCTACGTGTGGTGGTGTGGGACGCCGACAAGCTCTCGACCGATGACTACCTCGGAGAGGTCGAAGTCCGACTGGCAGACCACCCGCTTCTCTTCTCCGAGCCGCTCGGCCTCTCCCGCCTCTCCCTCCCTTGCTTGGCTGCGACGATGCCGAGCCCAAAGCCATTCTCTCGCTTCGGTTCCTGTAAAAATATGCCTCCCGTCAACCCGATCACGCCTACCGAGGGCTTCCCTCCCCCGATCACCTCAACCCTCCCCGTCCCTCCCAAACGCAGGCGGTCCGGACAGATATCCCCTCAGCTCGCGGTCAGCCGACCAATCCGTCCAACCAGACGAGCGGAGGTTGCCCCCCCCCCCTTCCTCCTCACCGCCCCCCCCCTCCCCCTCCCCATACACACGCCACACCCGACGCCCGACCGCGACAATAGTATGACGTCCCTGTATGTAGGAGGCGAACCCATTGCCCTTGGCGTACCTTCTGTACTGGTGTCGTCGCCTCATGTGGCCCTCCCTGCGTGTGTTGCGCTCTGGCTGGTCGTCCATATGGTCATTTCGTCGCTCTTGCCGGAGATGAAGCGAGAGAGTGATCGATTTGTGTGGGCAAATCGAATTACCAGTTTAATTCATGGATTGGCATCAGCCTCACTTGCTGTTCCCTTTACCCTCTCTCTCGAAGCCTTTCCTACGCCTGTAGGCAAGGACAATACTGACTTTGCTACTCTTATCCTACAAATCTCATTTGGTTACTTTGTCATGGATCTGGGTATGGGCACTCTGGCTTCGGTCGCTGATGTCGCTGTCTGTCTTCATCATGTCATGTGCATGTTGGGTATGGGCTATACTCTCTACACTGGTCGATCCGGTGCAGAGCTGGTCACTGCCATTGCTCTGGGTGAGCTCACCATTCCGCCCTTTATCATTCGTTGGATGTTGAGACATGCTCATCTGGGTCACTCGCTCTTCAAGCTCTACGTGGCAAACGACATTGTCTTCTTCCTCTCTTTCTTCATCAACCGCATCTGCCTTGGCCTGCCCTTTACCCTCTACATCATCGCCTCGCCTGATGGTGACGTCGTCATCAAGTCGTGTGCCGCCATCATCGCCATCATCTCCCTCCTCTGGTTCTCCATCATCACAAGCCGCACCGGCCGCAACATCTCCTCCTACCTTGTCGACGGCTACTGGGACGTCGGCCGCTCGCCAGACTCGCCTCATCCCTCCTCTCCGCTCCCACTCCCGCCCAACCCCATCGTCCGCCCTTCGTCCTCGCTCGCATCCTCGGCCGACTCGCCCTCCAGTGGCTGCTCCTCCTCCGCACCGTCGCCCTCCTCGACCGCCTCGCTCCTCTCCCGTCGCTTCCGCACATAGAGCCGTGTGTACGGTCAAGTTGATGCCAGTCCACGCCGTGTCCGGGCTGCTGCGCGGCGCTTGCTACCTCTGCCATCGAGATGAGCCTTTTCCCGTCTCACCTCTGCGCGTCCCGCTGCGCATCACCAGGTTTTGGGGGGTCCGTATGGCGTTTGCTTTGGCACACCGCGTATTCTCCGATCGACGACGAGCTTCTCTTGCCAGCGTAGCCGACCCAATATATAATGTTCGAGCCAACAGCCCGCCCGTCGTCCGCCAGCTCGCCGCCCATTCGCCCACTCGCTCGCCCCACGATTATGTCTCGTTCCATTAATCGTACCCCTGCCCACCCGCCCACCTCCTCGCCCCACGATTATGTCTCGTTCCATTAATCGTACCCCTGCCCACTCGCCCACCTCCTCGCCCCACGATTATGTCTCGTTCCATTAATCGTACCCCTGCCCACTCGCCCACCTCCTCGCCCCACGATTATGTCTCGTTCCATTAATCGTACCCCTGCCCACCCGCCCACCTCCTCGCCCCACGATTATGTCTCGTTCCATTAATCTTACCCCTGCCCACTCGCCCACCTCCTCGCCCCACGATTATGTCTCGTTCCATTAATCGTACCCCTGCCCACTCGCCCACCTCCTCGCCCCACGATTATGTCTCGTTCCATTAATCGTACCCCTGCCCACTCGCCCACCTCCTCGCCCACCACACTCACGCAACACAGCCACCAAACTACACAACACCGCACTCGCCCCCTCCTTCACCACCACCACTATGACCATGCCCACAGTATCCAAGGTCATTGTCCTCGCCCTCGCCCTCCGACTCGTCCTCGCCCTCACACCGCTGCCTGCGCTCCTTGCTCACCGACCCGAACTGGCCACTGTCCTCACCTCCTCCTACGCCGCCAAGGAAGCCGTCTCCATCACCACAAGCCCAAGCTCAAGCTCATCATGGTCAAGTTCATTGTGGGCAACTTTTTTTTCGTCGGGCACTTTGGATTCGGCATCCTTTTCTCCGCTCTCCGTTTTGTATTCGGGCAACTCGACGGCGCCTGTTCACTTTCCTCCGCTCCTCCTACTTGCGCTCAAAGGCCTCGCTGCAACTACATCGCCGTCTATGCCGGCTCTTCTCCCGCACTTTGCCCTCATTGCTCTTGCCTCGCTCGCCGATGTGGTGGCTGCTCTCGCTCTGGCTGACGCTGGCTCGCTCATGGTGGGTGTGGCTCTCTCGCCAGACCTCCTCGCTGCGCTCTATCTCCTCAACCCGCTCTCGCTCCTCACTGCTCTCGCCGGATCGCTGGCGCCACTCTCCAATGCTGCCGTTGTTGTTGCTCTCGCTGCTGCACTTCGCCGCCGCGTCATCCTCGCCACCGCTGCTCTCGCCTCTGCCATCTACCTCGCCGTCGCGCCGTACACGCTGGTCCTCGGCCTCGGCATGGTCCTCTCCAAGACGACCGGCATCTCGTGTGGGCGCGGCCTTGCCCTTGCCGCAGCCGGCACTGCCGCCTGGCTCGCCGTCTTTGCCCTCGCATCGACCGCGTTGGCATCGGGCTCGTGGGCCTGGCTCAAGGTAGCGTACGGACCTATCGTCGGCTTCTCGGCGCTCCGGCCCAACGTCGGCATCGGCTGGTACCTCCACACCGAAATGTTTGAGCACTTTCGCACCTTTTTCCAGGCCTGCTTCCATGGCTATGCCGCCATATTTGCCCTCCCGCTCACCCTCCGCTTCGCGGCCTCGCCCGTGTACCTCTACACGCTGCTCGCGGGCGTCGCCGCCACCTTTCGCCCCTATCCACAGATGGCCGATATGGCCACGTACCTCGCCATTGCTGCCCTTCATGCCGCTCTTGTTCCGCGCATGCGCTACGCCTTTCTCACTCTCAACCTCATGATCTTTGCCTGTGCCGTCCTCTTCACCTTTTGGCGCGTCTGGGTCGTTCTCGAGGTCGGCAACGCCAACTTTCTCAACAACGCCAACCTTGTCTACTGCATGGCCAACGTCTGGTTCCTCCTCGACTTTGTCTACGCCAAGGCCGAGGCCGAGGCCACGATGGCGACTGCCTCGCCTCACAAAGCCTGAGCTCGGCCCTGTTTACGCTGTGCCTATCAGGTGCGACATCGAGCCCTCGCGCTCTAAAGGCGTGAGCTCGGTGCCCATCTCGTCGTCGTGGACCGGGTTGATCACCACGTCGTCAAAACCGGTCCACGAGTCCTGGCCCAATCGCAGCGCCTTGTGAGCATCGATGCCACCGTCGGTCGACTCGCCCACCTCCCACAGGCCGTCCGAGTTCTCCGCAAGCTCCATCCGTGACTCGACAAAGCCGACCATGGCCATGGTATCGTCATGGGTCGCAGGCGCCCCGCGCGTCTCGAACCACGTCCGTAGCGTGTCCCAGAACTCGTCGCGCCGAAAGGCCGGCAGTGCGTTCGGGTCGCCACCAGCCTTGTATAGCAGGTACATAAAGAGCAGCTCGCGGATGGCAGACGCCAGTAGGATGACCATCGAGATAATGACAATGGCCAGCGTCACCGCGATCATCGCGTTGCGCGGCGCGCCACTCTCTAGCCGCTCCGAGTAAAACACCGAGCCGCAGAAAGAACCGCCCACACAGAGACGTTGAGTGCGAGCTCGAGCGAGTTGTGGATCGCCCGGTAGAACGGTTGGAGCTTGAGCTGGACCATGGCCGCCACAGAGAAGAGCGCCACAAGGAGGACGAGCTGGAAGAGAATCGTCGAGCCAAAGAAGAGCTGCAATACCACAAGGCTGAACTTCTTACCCGTCATCACAAGCTCCCAGTAGTAGAACTGGTCGATGTACAGCCGGTAGATCGAGCCAAACCGGACAAGCGAGGAGACTCGATCGAGCTTGTGCTTCCGAACAAAGAGAACAGAGGCAAAGAGCGCAGGGATGCCTACCACATACAGCAGCGTCCCGGCTGCTGCCACCGGAAACATCTCCCACCACTCGTTATCGTAGCAGTAGAGCCCGGCGTTGCCGGTCATGTGCCACTTGCCGTCCTCGCGCTTGATGCACGAAAAGTGCGAGAGCGTCGACCGCGTCAGCGAGATGTACAAGAATGGCAGCGCCGTAAAGACCGTCGCCACAGAGATCTTGCGGTTGAAGAACTGCAGTTGCTCCGCGTCCCACACGCCCGGCGAGCCAGCCCGCAGCGAGGCATACACGTTGACGATACCAAAGACCATAGCCATGACCCCGCCCAGAATGAGCGGTACGCCCATGACCAGCATGTACTTGCTCGCGTATGACGACTCGACCGAGCACTCGGGCGCAAAGAACTCGATGTTAAAGTTGACGACCGAGAACGAGAGCAGGAACGACGAGACCGAGGATGGCCACTCGGCCTTGAGCTCGCCAAGCAGCGCCAGGATCTGCATGTACGTGATGCCGGCGCCAATAGACGCCAGCGACCATGTCGTGCGCCGGTTCCGCCGGTCCTTGGTCATCCGCCGCGCCATCAGCACCGACACAATGGTGAACGCGAGGCACGCCAGCACCAGCAGCACCACAAAGACCACAAGCAGCCAGGAGTGGCCCTGCGGACACGCCTCACACCGCCCGTTGACCTTGTAGTAGCCCTCGATGCAGACGCCGCAAGCAAAGCCAGCGTAGCCTGGCGCGCACGGCGAGTTCATCCCGCCCAGACACGCATCCTCCGGATCGCACCGGATGAACGATGTCACATCAACCTGGAACGCGCCTTTGGCCGCACGCGGCAAAGCCGTTCCGCCAGGGCACTCGGCAAAAGGCATGCACGCCTCGCACGCCACCCCACCGCCAGTCAGAGAGTAGAACCCGGGCGTGCAAACGCAGGCGACAATCGACGACGAGTTAGTCGACGTCGTCGTGGTAAACGCCGGGCAGCTGGTGCATCCGGCGGCGTTGATACTGTCCGAGTACTCACCGGGTGCGCAGATGAGACACGGCCCAGTCTCGGTCTGGGCGTATGTGCCTGGCCGGCACGACGCGAGCATCGTCACCGTTGTCGAGAAGGCCAGCTGCGCGTCGAGCGTCACCGTCAGTGTGTACGTCCCAGGTTCGGTTGGCGTGTACGTCGCCACATACAGTCCGTCACCCTCGTACCGCACCTGTATGTCCGATACCACAATCGACGTTCCAATAACCGTCAGTGCCATCCCGGACCCCAGCTCGCTCGCCACCGTCACGTTGTTGCCAAACGTATCGCGCGCCTGGGCGTACACATCGAGCGGCTCGCCGACCACAGCCCCAGCAGCAAGTGGATCGGTGCCCACGCCCCACACCAGCGAGTTGATCCCGTCCAAAACGTCTGGAAAGACTTCAAACGTCTGTCCAGAGCCCTGGATCACACCCGAGCCAGCAATGGTCGACACTGCGCGATACCGTCCCACAGTCGTGAGCCAGCTCAGCCTGCTGTGGTAAAGCCCGGTCGTCGTCGAGTGAGTCGCGTTGTCGCGCCCAACAAACCCAGGCAGCTGCGACGGCTCGCCACCAGACTGCAGAAAGCCGAATACTTCTGGAAGCGAGAGCGAGTCTGCTTCAGTCATGACCACAACATGGACTTTGTCACCGCCAAGCCGCCGAAGCACGTCTTGATCGTCGACCACCGCCAAGCGAATCTCGCTCTCGGCACCAGCACCGGCCCGGCGGGACCTTGGGAAGGCGTCCACATACGAGCGGTTGGTATTGCCGGCGCTGGTAGTGACAAACGGAAGGAAGGCGCCGTGTGGCGTGCCCGCAAAGCTGGCAAACGGCGCACCCACAACTACCGCTCCCTCGAGCATGGCTACCGATACGCCAAAGAGCGAAAGCCGGACTTCGGAGAGATCAAAGTTGACCGGTGTGTCCGGCTCCTCGCGCGGGATTCGAAACTGTGGTGGAATGCCAAGCTCCTTGATTCGCAGCCACGTGCCCACCCCCGATGGGGTCTGCCAGACCTGCGGCGGCGCGACGGGGGGTGGCGGCGAGGAGTCGATCGGCGCCGGTGGCGGTGACGGAGCTGGCGGCGGCGGCGACGGCGGCGGCGGGACTGCAAAGCCAGCCACCGGAGAGCTCGAAAGGCTCGTCCGCTCGTACAGATGGCCATAACCCTGGTAGTTGTTGGCGAGTATTGAGAAGATCGCCATGGTCCCATTCCGCATCCGCAGGTTGTGGCCAAAGAGGTCGCCCGGCTGCGCACCTGGGTACTCGATGAGCGCGTCAAACATCCAATCACCTGCGGTCTCGTTCCACATGTAGGTGGCCACCGCGCCGCGAGAGGACCGCCATGAGAGCAGCGAGGCCGCAAGCGTGACGGGGCTCGATGCGCCAGAGTCAGCCGCCAGCGCGTCGATGCCGACAACTTGTCCGGCCAGATACACGCCTGAGTATTCGGGCGAGTCGAGCGTGAGCGTCGAGTGCAGCTCATACTCGTTCGAGGTCTCGTTGAACTCGTAAACGACCACTCCTCCGAGAAGACCACCAAAGTAAGGCCTGCCAACCGCCAGTAGGTTACCTGATACCGCCAATGCCGCGCCAAATCCGTCCTTGTAGCCGGACGGCGAGCTGTGTGCCGCGTGAACGTACCACGTTCCGTGGCTGCTCGCGTTGTGGCGGATCTCATAGACTCGCGCATTGGAGCCGTCACCGATGAACACGATGCCGCGGTCGTCGACCTCGAGCGCCTTGCCAAAGTTGTCCGAGACCAGGTCGATGTCGCCAAACAACGCGGCCATGACGGTCGAGTTAAACTCTGCCACCATGGTAAAGGTGTCGGGATCAACGAGGCCACGCTGAAAGATGAAGACGGCCTCGGTGGGCGGCTCCAGCTTGGCCACACTGTCGTCCATGTCCGACGAGACAACGACAAAGCTTCCAGCCACTAGCGAGCTCCTGCATCTTGCGCCAAAGCGGTACTTTGGCTGATCCAAGCCGTAAGTTTGCGGAGGCGGAGCGATGTGCTTCAGAGTAACATCATCACTCTTGCCTGTCTGATTGACACCAGCATAGATGAGAAGGACCGTGCCCGAGGTAGTCACATCATTGCGATCTTGATAGGCACCAATGGCGATAAGAAGATTCTTTTCGTCGTCCACTTTGCCCGACGCCGTCAAACAGCTTCCCATTCCCGAGTTAGTATCCGCCACCAAACCGCCAGCAAAGCCAAAGACCACGTTCTCCAGCTCGCCGCGGTACGTCATCACAGGTTCGTCCAGCGCCGCCGCCGAGCTTGGTGCGAGCAACATGCTGGTGCTGACCATAGCGAGTACAAAAAAAAGAACAAAAGGTATGCGCAACATGGTAGTGCCCATGGATATGTGTTGAAAGGGGGTGGGGGGGTGGGGGGGGGGGCCGCTAAACCTAACTTTTTTTTCTTCTTCAAAATCGTAAACCTATTCTTTGCCGTAGGGGGACACCCTCACCTTAATCTTTATTTTTTTTTTTTGCTGTTGTTTTTTTTTGTTGGGTGGTTTTTTCTTTTTTTTTTATTTTTTTTTTTTATTTTTTTTTTTTTTTTTTTTTTTTTTTTTTTTTTTCTTTTTGCTACTCCCTCACCCTCATTTTAAAAATAATCCTTAATCTAATCCTAAAATAACCAAAAAATTTTTTTTTTG